CTCACTCACTGACTCACTCACTCACTCACTCACTCACTCACTCACTCACTCACTCACTCACTCACTCACTCACTCACTCACTCACTCACTCACTCACACCCACTTCCACGCACACGCACACTCACACTCATACTCACACTCACACTCACACTCACACTCACACTCACCCATTCGCTCACTCGCTCAACCGCTCACTCAACCGCTCACTCACTCACTCACTCACTGACTCACTCACTCACCCACTCACTCACTCACTCACTTCACCTCACCTCACCTCACCTTAACTCAACTCACCTCAACTCAACTCAACCCGACTCAACTCAACTCAACTCAGTCACTCACTCACTCGCTCACTCTCTCACTCTCTCACTCTCTCGCTCTTTCACTCTCTCACTCACGCACTCTCTCACTTACACTCACACTCACACTCACACTCACACTCACACTCACACTCACACTCGCGCTCTCACGCACGCACGCACGCAAGCGCGCACTCACTCGCTCACTGACTCACCCGCTCCACTCCACTCCACTGAACTGCGCTCCACTCCACTCCCCTCTCCACTGCACTGCACCGCACTCCACTCCTCTCCACTCCACTTCACTCCACTCCACGCCACTCCACTCCGACTCCACTCCACTCCACTGCACTGTGCTCCACTCCACTCCACTGCGGTGCACTCCACTCCACTCCACTCCACGCCACTTCACTCCGACTCCACTCCACTCAACTCCACTTCCCTTCACTCCACTCCATTCATCCACTCCACTCCCAGATCACTCCACCTTTGACACGTTTGCGACACGCGTCCAAGCTCACCAAAACGAGCCAGTTGAACGGCAGGACCAGCAAAGATGACACTTGAGCCAACGCTTGCACGCACCTGCCAAGCAAGACACTGCAAAACAACCACCGCTGGAGTGCAAATCCAAGGGCACGGCAAACACGCAGCCTTCCAAAACACGGCGCCTGCGCAGCCACGATTCACGCACGGGCGCAACGAAGTCAGCGCTTCAAGACTCATCGAAAAGGCACGTTTTACGGCAATCCCAATGGCACGGCAACTTTCTCCACGCGCGAACGCTCGCGGACGCTTTCGGATCTTTCGAACGCTTTCGAACGCGTGCGAACGCTTGCGGCCACACGCGAGCCGACCAGCGAAGACGACCTTACCCCCAGACCCCACTTAATAACGGAACCCTTCGCTACGCATTCAGGAATCGACCCTTATAACAAACCCTAAGTAAACCGCATCCCAACCCAAAACCTGAAGCCAACCCTGAGCCCACCACAAATTCCGAAGCGCGCCCTAAACCAGCACTATTATAATAAACCACCCCCAAACCTGGCCGACCTAAACCAACCCCAAGCCCAGCCAAATCAACGGCTGCTTCGAAAAGGTGAACCGTCTGCGACCTTTCTGGGCCGCCGGACCCAGGAAGAAAAGGCTGCGAAGAACCTGGGAAAACATAAGCCCTTCCGCCGTCACTTTTTAGAAAAATGCGTTTTTGTCAGCAGTCATCAACCATATTACACTTTTGGCTTAGGGGGCAATAGCCGCCAAGGAAAGAACGCGCACGGAAAGCTGAGGAGACTTCCGCGTGGGTACAGGAGCCATGGTCAATAGCCAGCAGGTGTACCCAAGTGACAAAACCCATTTGGGCAGGCTAGTTTGCTGAACGTGCCCAAGGTAATTCCCTGCTCTACAGTAGACCAGTAGATCGCGGTGTTCAGGCTGTTGTGCAGGAAAAACGACGCCGGTGGCAAAGCCAGGCTGAACAAGCAGAGGAAGATGCCAGAGCCGCGCAAGAAGAATTACAGAGAGTCCGAGAAAATGCTCGGGCGGATGCAGATGACTTGCACTTTTGGAGGGATCATGCCGAACAGCTTCAGGTCCAAGTCGATGAACTTAGAGAAGCACCCAAAGTGAGGGATGCTGAGTTACGAAGTCTAAAGGTTCGCGTTGATGAGTTGGAGAAACTTCAGGACCAACGCAATGGTGAGCTCATGGAGATTCAAGTGGACTTGGAAGTGTGTAAGCACCGGGACTTGGAGGAGGGTCCTAGACTTTCGCTGAGATCTCATCTGGCAGAGCGTGCAGAAGTGCTTCTCAGGCGTGTTCCGCCTGGTCATCACGGAGCCTGTGATCGCATGAGGAACATCCGTGTGTTGAAGGTTGAAGAAGTTATCAATATGAGGTTGTGGCCAAAGTATGCGACACAACGTGGGAACATGGTTCAAGCGCTGAAGGGTCGTCATGCCTGCCCCTGGATCGAGGATCTGGCTTCGCCAGTGCAGTGGGTCCACGACATGTTCTCTTACATTAATCTGGAATCAACCGCCAACGAAGTGCTTTTGCTCCATGGGACGACCAAGCAAAATGCCAAGAAGATTTTGCGTGAGGGCTTTGACGATCGCCTCAGCGCACGTGCCCTCTACGGAGACGGCATTTACTTTTCCACAGATCCCTGCAAGATCATGCAGTACTGCGACGAGGATGCCACAGGGCAGGGGTCAGAGAAGTGTGCCATCCTGGCCCGGGTCCTACTTGGGCATCCGTATGTGGCAGAGGCGCCTCGCCAGGGTCAGCGACGGCCACCCCCAGTTCATGGAACGGACGAGCTCCACGACTCCGTCGTTGCGCAGCCTGGGGTGACAGTGAAGGGAAAAGGCAAAGGCAAAGGCAGGCAGCAAGTTCACTGGGAGTTTGTTGTGCTGCTCGCCCGCACTTTGCATGGGAGCCAAAGGGCGCATGTTGATGGGGGCAACAGCTTTGCGTTGGTGGCACTAAGCGGGTCATCCCCCTTTCCAGGCCAGAGGCCAAAGCAAGGGTTGATGCGCAAAACGGTTTATCACATTTCATGGCTTCATTGTTGTTGGCATGTTTAAAGGTCTTTTGGTTCTGTTCATTTGTTGTAGGGGGCTGCTAAAAAGAGAGTTTGTTGCTACCATTCCAAGGGTTGTAAAGATGGTTTACTGCTTTTGTTCTTGTTGCCTTGGAGGCCGTTCAAGCGCTCCACTCAGCTTGAGCCTACGATTCACTCAGGCTTTGCCGATCAGCTTTGCATCCGGTACGGGGTTGGAATTGAGGGGAGCCATCATGAAGAAAGAATATGCAAAGACTGTTCTAAAATGGGCGGGGGTTTACGCTTCCCTGGGGATGTATTGGATGCAATCCCATCCCAAGCACCAAGGCAGCGGGAGCAAGTCTACCCCGAGCTGCTGATCCACTTTTCTGCCTGAGATTCAAGGGATAGCTTCCCCCATTCTTTCCAGGGATCCTTCTGGCTAGGAAACCTCCCAGCACCTAGGGAGGTTGGAAAGCCTTTCGGTCCCCACTAAACGCGTTGGTTTTCCTGTTGGTTTTTCTTTAAGCCAAGCTGAAGAAAGGTACCCTCAAAAACGCGCGCACACACACACACACACCCGGTTGGAAAGAATGGGGAACCAGCCCCGATTTCTTGCGGAACATCGACCTCCCAGCCTTGACAGTTCACACGACTCGTCAAGCTGGTGATCGAGATGTTAGGCCCTAAGCCAACGGAGCCCAGCGGACACCACGCGACGAGGTGAAAAGAAGGGGTGGCCCTAGTCAAAAGAACCCCTCCAGCAAAATGAGTTAGGGGAACCACCCTGGATTTGCACGGCCCTCTGGAGCAGTCCGAAGTTAGCATGTGCTATTGCACGCTTGGTTCCGTTTGAAACGCGTGGAACGCGTGCAGGGTCGCCCAATTTCAACGTTGTGGACACATTAGACCCGTACCAAGCAGAATGCGTGCAAAACATGCGCCAGCGGACTGGACATCGGGCGGTACTGAGAAGTGACGGTCCAACAATTCGGGTTTGTCTCAGAAGGATGGCTGCAAATAGCATGAGTAGTCTTCTCTGGGCTTCTGAAGGAAGAAAAGGTGGCTCCCAAAAAGCACACTTTTTTCAAATTACATCTGATGAGTTCTGGTGACTTTGCAGTCGGGCGCTTGGATTGAAACTGCGATTTCCCAATTAGCAGAGGTTCCCTTATTCTAGATGTTTGACATCATCGTAGTTTGCATAGCATCTAAAACCTGGAGGTTATTCATAGTGTTGCCTTCATAGAAACTAAAATGATCATACCCGTACTATTTACCAAATCATGATTCCTGATTTGCATCTGGATCCCCTGAAGGTTTCCATGCAGAACTGCTCCGCACGGGGGTCACTGATTTACCTTAAAAGTGGTACTGTGGGTGGATGAACTCCATTTCGCACCACCCCTGGAATGCTGATTCCCCAACGGTTTTCCATTGCTTCAAAGTGGTGCAGGATTTCGTCCGCCCACAGTATGGACACCCAAACTGGTCCAACCAAAACAGGTCCTGCATTGCCGTGCTTGCTCCTGAGGTTGGCGTCGGCATTGCTCGAAAGACCAATCAAAGAGACGCAGACAATATGACTGTCGGATCGGGTGGCCCCTATAGACTTTGCAGGTGGGTATCGTCCTTTGGGCTTGACTGCTATCGGTTTCTGGTGGTGATATTGTCACGGGTTTTAATGTGCTCTCAAAGCATGTCAGAAAACCGCTAACTCAAAGCCGCACTTGTGGCTTGGTGGTTTGGGAGTTGAATGTAAAAGAAATCTATGGCGGGTCACAGAACGACCCCATGGTCAGGGGCCCTCGCCAAAGAGGGGAGCCCCACACAAGGCACCCAAAAGGAACGGCATTGCTTTAATAGGCTTCTTTGATCTATTAGCCCGTGGTTGGGATTTGGGTGCTATCGGGGCCATCCGTGGACGAAATCCTGCACGACTTGGGATATCCAGTTAATGGGCTGAACCACCTACCAACTGGTGCAACTGTGAGAAACCTCCCCTACTGCGAATGGACTAGATTCATGGCGCACTATTTGGTAGGTGTTTTTTCCCATTATTTACATATCCCAAGTGGTGTCGGATTTCGTCCACCCACCGGACGGGGGTCATAGGAAACAGGCTTTGAACTTAGTCTGGAGCCGATCGCGAGGACCTTCAGAAGTTGAGCCTCTCTTGGCAGCTGCCGCGCTCGCAGCATCTCTACCTCACCTCGCCCCTGCTTCTCGCCCGAACCGATTTTCACGGTGTCTCTTTTGCCAGGGTTGCTTTAAAGGGACATCACGAATAGACCACACATTGTTTAGATATTTTGAACCGAAGCGCGGATTCCTATTGGTTTCCACAAAGAAAACACACAATAACAAGGTCTCTTAGATTCGCAGGTTCCCTAACAAAGAAGAAGCAACAAGCATGAACGAACAACCTAACCAACAAACAAACACGTCAAAAGGGTACCTGAAAAAAGGCGGCCAGGCTTCTGATGATTTCACAGGCGTGCGCGCAGGCGTGTCAGCAGTCACAGGCGCGCGGTACCGTTTTTGGACGCCATCTTTGAGGCGGCGCTGAATGGCAAAAGGCTTCGAATAGGGTACTTACTCATGGCAACTTGACAAATGCATCATGAGGACGATGACGATGCCAATGAAGGGCAATTTGATGGTGATGATGATCATCACGGTGATGGCGATGATGGCGATGATGGCGATGATGGTGATGATGGTGGTGATGGTGGTGATGATGGTGACGACGATGATGATGATGAGGATGATGATGACGACGATGACGATGACGATGACGACGATGACGATGATGACCATGATGACCATGATGATGATGATGATGATGATGATGATGATGATGATGATGATGATGATGATGATGATGATGGTGATGATGGTGATGATGATGATGTTGATGGTGATGATGTTGATGATGATGATGATGATGATGATGATGTTGATGACGATGATGACTTTCATAGGGAGCCTCTATTTTGGGTTGGCGAGTTGTAGCTTGTTGTCTTCTAATTCACTCAGGTCCATGTCAGCACAGATCTTTGAATCAAGCCCTTGCCACCAACTTAGAGGCTTGTGATTGAGCACATGACTTGGCCATACATACATATGTATATATATGTTTAGAGCTGATCCTCGAATCATCAGCAGCGATGGACTCCTAAAACGGTCCACATGAGCAGGGCTGACATGCGGTGGTCATGGGTGTTTCTTTATTTGAGGGCAATCTTTTGGGGCTGAAGGTCAACCCCCAATGGAACCCCCCCCACTAAATGTGGGTTCCCCTAAGTTGGCCGGTTGTCGGGTTGCTCGTTTTTGGTTGGTTGGTTGGTTGTGGCTTTTTGGTTGGTTTGGTTGGGCTGTTTGCTTGGTTCCCCCATTTCAAGACACCCAATGGACCCCCCCCACCAAATGCGGGTCCATGTAAGCGGCGCCTTTCCTGGAGCTTCGGAGGTGCTACCTGGGGCACCTGGTGGGTCACGAGGGCGCCGGCTCCTTGCAGTCCTTCCTCAAGGCCGAAGGCGGGCTCCCGCGCGGCGGAGCCGACGGGCCGACGGGCCGAGCCGAGTGGTGGAGTTGGGTTGGAAAAAGTTGCTGGGGTAGAAACCTGGCATCCATTTGCTGAAATAAATATTTTTTATGTTCCCCTGTTGGTTTTTTATAGGGAATCTATCACTGGACATATGTTTTTCTAGTTTTTCCGGGACGGCTTAGGCAAACGGAAGCTTGGGGATCAAACCGGGGTTATACCAAAGGTATACCTTGGGTGTACCTTGGGTTACTTGAGGATCCTTGATCCTTGACAGCAGGGTTCGCTCATTCAGGAGAGCATTGGGGCTTGAACCTACCCGCATTGGACCCAGGGGTCAGGATCTCCATAAGGTTTTGGACGGCCTCGAAGAGAGGCCCCAAGATTATGGCATGCACTCCGCAGGGATCAAGGCCAGCTAAGATGCGAATCTTCATGCCGAGGCAAAATAAAGGTGGTTGCTGTCCCTTTGGGCTCAATGGTTGGTGGAAGACTGGAGTTGGGACCCCCTTCTGATTGCGAGTGAAGCCAACATGACAGACAATCCTGTTTTTAAGAGTGTCCCTTCCTCCCACTAACATAGCACTTGCGGAAGGGTATCTGGAAGATCAGATTCCTCTTTACGGGACCTCCTGTCAGGTGCCATGTTAGTGGAAGGGAGGGCATACCGAAACGCTGGTTGGAATCAACCCCCCTTCATTGCCACACTTTTTTCCCTAAGCCGTTTTAGCCCTTTTGCCATTTTGGGTTTCTTCAGCAGTCCCCCATCAACAAGACTTTTTCGCTTTGCGTGGACCTGGGTATCCACCGAAGATTTGCCTTGCCCCGGTGGGGCAGCTGCTTGTGCAGGCCTTGCCACAGAGGTGGAGGCAGGGGTGGGGGAGGACGACTTTGCGAACAACTACCTGCCGAAGCCTCGGCGAGAGGAAAAAACAAACGCGATGTGGGCTTGTGTCAATATGGGGGAACCCGTAAAATTGTTGTTTCCTTTTGAACCAAGGTGGAAAGGGTACCCTCAAAGATTCCCATTTGTTTTGTACTAGAAGGATCAAACCTTTGCGCCATCATGGTCATATGGATTTTCCTGGCATTTGAGCAAGGTTTGGGGGGCTTTTAACAAGCATAAAGTCATGGCCATAAGAGATCAGAGTGAATATTTATGTACAATTGACATTACTTGCAGTGTGTTTTTGCGAGGGACACTTGTTGTTTGACTTTACTGATACATGTGTTCCTCCGTTGTTTTCGCGCGTACTTACTGATCACTTACAGTACTTGCTCTCTGCTTTCCTTTGCCGAAGTTGTGCTGTGAAATGGCAAATTGAAACCAAACATTTGGTCTCCGCCGCACAGATTCCAGGTCCATGTGCCTTGAATTCTGACCTCACTCACCCAGGTTTGGTGTGCTTGGTAGTGCCTGTGGAGGGTGCCTCCTGGGGTGGGTGAAATATGAGAATTGATTTAGACGCGACGAGTTGTCTATTTCCCCAGGTTTTGTTTTGGGAGTGTTTCGCTTGGCACTGACCGCCTGGGCATGGGGTGGCCTGGGCATGGCCGCGGGTTGGCCGTGTCTGTTGGCTGGGTGGCTAGGTGGGTCTGGCTGGCCGCTAAAAAGGTGGCTGGGGGCCTGGCTGGCTGATTGCATTGCTTGCTGCGGATTTGGGCCATCCAAAGGCCGGAGGGCGTGCTGGTTGGTTTGAGCCTCGAGGATTGGCGTTGGTAAAACCGGGGACGCACGTGACTGGTTTCCTTTTGATCCTCAAAGAAGCCGTTCCACTTTCCCATGCCCCAATGATTATTTTGCCGAGTGTCGGTGTGTGTGTGTGTGTGTGTTCATGTTTGTCTTCTAGGGGACCCCAGAATTGGCATCGGTTTTCCTTTTGGGTTCCCCTTGAATCCACCGAACAAGGGTATCCAAGAAGGCACACCCATATAGAAACTGCTTCTCCTCCAGATTAAAATGAACCCAGATTAACATGAGCCCCCTGCTTTTTTTTTGCAAGCTGAGTATCGATGTGAGGTGCACCATCTTCAACATCGAGATCACCTTGACACAGAAGGGCCTCACTGTTTGGCCAGAGGCTGGGTTGAGCTAGAGCGAAAAGGCTCTTTGCGATCAGGTGACTTTTCAGCCTACTGTTTGTAAGGATACCGCTTTTGGGGTATTGTCGTTTGAGGGTACCGCAACTATTTGGTTTTTTTCCTTTTGGTTGGAGGGTACTGTTTTTGTTTTGATTCCTTTTGACCTTTTTTTTATGGGGGTAGGTACAACCTAGGGTATCCCTAAGGGGGGTAGGTACAACGTGGGGTTCCTTAAAATTCCCAGGAGCTCGTTAAAAAAGCTTTAGGCAATCCTCCCCTTGGTCCACCCCCCCTAGGCATGCCCAGCTTCCCCTGGAAGCGCTCAAGTCAGGTGGCGCACTGCGGGTTCCTGTACCTGTCGATGCTCAAAACGCAAGGCCCACAGCAGTGGGTCTTTGAGGAGCTGAGGCGAGCGCAGGAGACGACTCGGGAGACGCCTCGGACAGCTGTTCGAGGGGCTGGGGGTTTTCATTTTTGTTTCAGAGGCGGGTGGCAATTTACATATGTAAATATATATACATATATATATATATATACATATTTTAAACAAAGAGCCTGCGCGTTGCAAAACTCGCCTGAGCAACAGATCATTTGTCTTCAGGCCCTGCAAAGTGGTCCTTGGTTCTTCATGGGTGCAACAAAAGCAGTGAGGCTCTGAAGTTGCTGAAGGGGTCCAGATGATTCGAACATCTTTTTTTGATGCTAAAGATTCATTTCCTTGAAGCCTTCCAAGTTTGCCCAGAACAAGCTTCTCCCCAAAAAGTGTGGGCTGCGACCGATTTCCTGTCTGAACGTTAGATGTTGCGAATGTTGGCTACGAGAACCTGAAAGATGAGGCACTGGTCAAGTGAGCCGCTGGAACCACCGCCCCTTCCGTGCATCTCACACGAGATGACAGCTCTGCGTGCCTGGGTCTTGACCATGTTGTGGGGCTACGTGCCTCTTCGCGTTTGTTGTTGTAACATCCGTGGACGTCATGTGCGTTGAGGCGTTTCAGACATAACATGGAGTTGCTGTTTTGACTCAACGTGGGCTGCTACCAAGGCCTCGTGCAGAACAGGCAGGTCACTCAGGGGTAGCCCACTACATTAAGGGCTACAATCGTGCTGCCTCAAAAAGACAATGCCCGCAGATTTACTTGTGAGGCGATCGCCTGGTTGGCTCGCACTGTGCCACCTCCTTCAACCATTCAATTTGCCTTGCAGAAGGCCTTCCAACAATGCGCAGTTTGGCCTAAACTGTGGAGGGTTGGGCCCTTCACACCCCTTCGAAAGAGCCTCAAATGGTGAGGGCTTTCTAGCAGAAAAACTGCAACCTCTTGAAGCTTTCCTCGATTGAGACACGCAAACACAAAGAAAGGCACAGACACAAAGACACACATACACAATACAGAAGCACACACAGCATTTGTTGAGCCAAATGTTTGCTTTTGGCCTTTCTGGCACAAAAACATGGCTGTGCCTTTTTTTCTTCTGGATTTGGACCCCCGAAATGGTGGATTTCCTCATGGTTTCCCTCTAAGGCCGCCAAGAAAGGGCTACCAACCCCAAGAAAGAGAGACGCCCAAACTGACGAGAGGAGTCGTCCAGAGTCATCCCCCCCCTTCGCCGCAAGCAGAGCGAAGGACATGTCTTGGCGCTTCCTGGTCCGGAACTCAGCTCGGGCACAAAGGACACGGGACGGCTATCCCTCTGGGGACATGATATATGGGGAAGCCCACAAAATTGTCCCTTAGCTTTCCTTTAAAGCAACCTAGCAAAGGTAGCACAAAAAAAGTGTGTGTGTGTGTGTGTTTCCCTTTTTGGGGTTGGGCTCATTTCTTACTTGCAGGGGGCATTTTCAATTCTCACTTTCGGGCTTCCTGGCATCACAAAAATGGGACACATGTCCGATCGTTCCCACAGCCCTGTGGCCATGTGCCTCCAGATCTCAGTGGCTAGAGGTGGTTGCTTTGGAAAAAGAAGACAACCTCGAAGGGCAGACATGCTATCATCGCGTGGCGCCATCGTCGTCGATTGCTGTTCTTTCGATTTGAATCCATTTCGTTCCGTTTGACTTCAAAAGCCAGGACTGAAATCTGGAGTACAGTCTAGTATATGCGGAAGCAACCGCGAAGAACAACCTGTTTTGCACTGCTTACATAAAACATAGAACAGGTTAGTTGACTGACATAAAACAGAGTCGCTTGTAAAAAGTTGGAATGCCTTGGCGCTGATGAATTAGACCTAAATCCGGGAGGGGGGGGTCTTGGCAAGGAAGGAACCCTCACCACAAAGGGACCCGCTGATTGAGAGCTTGGCAGTGTATTGATCAGGGATCAACATTTCTGGAACCTTTGGCCTGGTGTTGGTGAACCTTTGAGTGGATCATTTGGCTTGAGTAAGATGCAAGAGCAAGAACTCACCAGTCACCGCGAACTCGCTGAGTCTTCGGCTGTGTGGGCAGAAGAGGCGGGGTGGTTACCCAAGAAATCAGAGGGCATTGAACGCCGTGGAAAACCATCTTTGTGAGGCGTGCAAGAAAGCAGATATCAAGCCTCCTGCAGCTGAAAGCTTGAAAGCTACGCCAAGGAGGAGACGGATCCCGTGGAACACGTTCAGAAGCTCGCGTGCCTTTGCTGCCAGTATTCAAGTGCAGACATGCTGGGGCCTGTTGGCGGGTGCTTGTCTAGATCAGTTGATAGGAGGCTTTCATAGGTTTTCATCCATCCAAACTGTTGCAGGACTTTGTCCATCCACAGTAGGTGTCTCTTTTTCAGCAGGGACACGTGTGCCTGGGGCTCCGACCCCACTACCTCCTAGGCTGTAGGCTGTACACTAGCTGCTACTGGCTATGTAAAGTTCTACTTGGATGGATATCCTCAGACTCAGTCCAGGACATTCCTTGAGCTCTTCTCTTCTTTGGACGGCACACCTGTATCGTCCTTGAGCATATTCTTCTGCGGAATGGACGTCCTTGACATGAGTGAATATGTACTGCCATCTACTGTAGTAAAGTGGATGTTTTGGGCACACACACACACACCAAAATATCAATAAGACATGGTGACATAGGAGGACACAATGACTGCTGCAAGATCCACTTCGCACCAGATTTCAACTCCGATTTCATGCATCCCTCTTCCTCTCACTCCTGCATCACGCTTCAAAAGTGGCGGAAATCCAGAGACTTGGTGTTTCCCAGCCATTTCCTTACGTAGGTACAAACCAGACTTTTAGCAGGGGATCTGTGAACAGCCCAGGAGATTTCTGCATGTCATTTTGCGGAGTGCCGTAGAGATTGATTTGGGTCAGGCTTGATGTAAACATTCGCGTGGTAAACGATGTCGAAAGGTTCCCTGACCGAACTTTAGAGACCCCCAAGGCTTTTGGCTGCTGTGAAAGAACAAAGAGTAATCTTCCGGTATTATGACTCAATGTAGCTCCAAAAAAACCCGCAGCCTCATTCTTTATTTTGAATGTCTCTTACACTTTGTTGTGCTTGGCCAAGAAAGCTTTCAAGACCTCTTTCTGGATGGCCCTTGACCATCACGGAGCGTGTCAAAAGTTGGGCGGGGGCCCTTTTGTATCCCCCTAAAAAGGCGGCACAAGTGTCAGACAAGGGGCCATATGTGCAACAAACCCCCACTTAAATGGTTTCGGAGTTAGCTAAATGGTTGGGAACCCCAGTTACAAGGCTTTGACTGGGGGTTGACTTGGGGCCTCTTCACTGTTGGCATGGTTTTAGGTTTGTTTCTTTTTTTGGTTCTGTTCATTTTTAGTGCGGGGCTGCAAACAGCAAAGTTTGTTGCTGACTCTTTTAGTCGGTACTGTGGGTGGACGAAACCCTGCACGACGTGGGATAGATGAAACCCTGCAAGTAAGGGGATAAGCCACCTACCCAACTGGTGCGAAGCGGATTTTGTCTATCCACATTCTGCCAAGGGAAACCCAAAAGGAAACAAACGATTTCGGAGACCTTCATTTTGCCTGAAGATCCAGGGAATGAGGGAATGACCCCTCAACCTTTCCTCATGGTATCCTTTCAGGGGATTGCCATGTTCCCCACACCCAAAAACGCTTCCCTGAAAGGCCTATGAACCTTTTGGTGGCTTCCTGGGTCCTGTGGATGGACAGAGTCCATTTCGCACCACGAAATGAAACCTTGAGTTGATGATTCCCCTGTAAATACCCGCAAAACAGTGATTGGGTTTGGTGCAGGATTCAACACTTGGAAACCATGATTGAAACCAAGAAGTTTGCTGATATTTTACCGAGGAATCATATCACGGGGTGTCTCTCATCGGCGGAACACCTCAAAATGAATAGTTTCATTTTGGCTTCCAAAATCATTCAATGAGAGTCCACTGGCTTGAGGAACCCCGTGCGATGTTGTCCATCTTTCAGGAACCCTGTTTGGGGAACCCTGTTCCATCCGAACCATCTACGGTAGGAGACCCATTTTGTTTACCAAGTGCAATCTTTTGAGACCCCCGCTGAGTTCAAAGATCTGAATGTCCCTTTTTACAAAGTCCCGAGGGGTGCGATTTCGTCCATCTACAGGGGAAAATCACCCAAAGAGAGTCCACTGCTTCTCTGTTTGAGGGTTTCATCTGCAGCAGGTCCGCTGCTTCGTTCCATCCGAATGGCTTCGATCCCCGCGCTCTCCGAGCCTTGGATCCCCGAGGTGCCAGATGCTGCCAGACTTGGGCCGCGCGCCGGAGCACATCTTGCCTCCCGGCTGGCGCTCGCTTCGAGCGAAAACGCCGGGGGAAGGCTTCCAGAGAATTCCTTTGGGGTGCCCTCCAAAGTGATGTTGTATTTGGGTGTCAAAGGGAAACCACAAAAAGGAAAGCCACCAGTTTGGGAATCTCCCTTATTTTGAGAAATCCTTCATATTTTAGGGTGGCCCTTCTATGAAGAATCTGAAGGTATTATTATTGTTAGTATTATTGATATTATTGTTCTTATCATTATTAGTGTTGCACCCCTGTTTTGGGTCTCACTTCCTGAGTTTCTAGACTAGTATGCTTGATTCTTGAGGTCCGGTGGGTGCAGTGTTGGCGTGTTGCAAGTTTCGACTTTTTGTTTGGCCCATCCACTCTGGAAGTGAGGATTGCCTGGCGATTTGGGGCCCGTTTTCCTCTTTTCCGGATTTCTAGCTTGAAAGGGAGTCCTTTCCGGGTAGACTTGGCTGGAATCCATGCGCCATCTTGCAAAGATTGCGAGCAAATTCCCCATGGTTCCTTTCCAGCGGGTCCATCTCCTGTTTCAAGGTGGATGTTTATTCAATTGTAGTGGTCTCGTAGGTTGTGTCAAAAGCCGCGGGGTTGGGGAGGTGTTGATGTTGCGTCAATTCGCAAAATTCGCCCTGCCTTTGTCTTGTAGAGACTCAAAAGGCTGATTGTATAGGTCTATACATGAATTTGGACCCTTCGGCTTCGGGGGCAGATTTCCCACAATTAAGCCATAAGCTAGGGCTTCATACCAGGGGTTCATACCAGGGACGTATACTTGCTGGTGCTCTGGAGGGACATAACCATCCCTTGTTCCTTTAAGCGAAGCACTGGGTTCATTCCGTGAATCCCTGAGCACAAGCAAGTATACAGTCAGCCTTGAGACGCTGAACGAGGAAGGGCGACTGGATGCTTTCGCGCTGGGATCCGGAGGCCATTTCACAGCCGCTCGGCTTCAGCTTTCGCCTGGGCCAGGTCATTGGGAGAGGAAATTTGGGCACCCAGAAAGGTTCTCTTGTTTTTTGTTTGTCGGTTTTGCTTGGTGTGTGTGTGTGTGTGTCCATTCATTCATCTTTTAGTTTGTCGTTTTGTTTGTTATGTTATTTATTTAAGCGGGTGATTCTCTACGACCACTCCCAAAGGTTCTCAGAACCCTTCGATCAGAACTCCTGTGAGATGTCCAGAACCTTGGGGTGAGGACCGGGGCGTCCCATTTCGGAGGAGATCCCCCAGAGGTTTTAACTCTGTGTGCCCCTAGGTTGGTTGACCTGGTTCTCAGGAACCAAGGGAACCAACGGCTTTTGGGAATGACCCCCCCAAACATCCAGCAACAAGAGCCCCATTTTCCGCCGCACCAAGCCCTGGCCCTTGCTTGACTGCTACTGGGTTGGATCTTTAGACTTTAACTTTTTGGTTGACATCAAGTTGGCTTTTCCACTAAACCCCCAAAAAGTTAAACTTTTTGCAGGGGGTCGTTGCAGCAACCAAGCTTGTTGCAGGTTCCTGGGCCGCTTGGCGCCGGAGAAATGCTTGCTGGCGCTGGTCTCCAGCAGCTTCGGCCAGGCTCAGTCCTCCAAGGCGCGCGGCTCAACGAGCGACGTCTCCACGACTTCCAGTCGCTTCCGTTGCTCAGAGAGGGGTGGATTCCAACCCATTTGTTGGAACACCCATCGTTCTTTTCTCAAAGAACGACACCTTTTTGCCTGGGTTTCGGTGGTTTTTGTTGTTTTCAGAGGGGGGTACAACTAGAATCATCTATCGAAAACAAAGCAAAAAGAGAAAAGTTCCAAGTTCTGAGTAGTTGGCGAATACTGGGTAGTTTGTACAATGGTCAAAATGGGAGGAACCCCCATTCAATGGGCGGCTTTCTTTTGATTTCCCTTGAACAAACACTCCCCAAAAGGGATACCGAGCCTCCACATGGAACCCAAGGTGATATTGGGGGGTCCTCAGAAAGGATAAATGATGCGGGATATCCAAACAAGCGATACCCCAACACCTGGGAGAAAAACCTAAAACACGGTACGTGACGAATACAGCGCAGACAAGTAATCTTGACGCTGTCTCACATGAAGAATTGAATTCTTGGATTTCATGTTAAACCAGGAGTATCCTGGACGTGGAATTTTTGGGTGTTTCTTTTCTACACAAATAGACTCGTTCGGGAGGTGTCGTCGGGGTGATTGCCTTTGCAGCGACATTGAGTGGGTGGATGTTGAGTGCGGCCAGGAAATAAACAACTTTTTAGGGACTCGGAGAGACCTTTGATTTCTCATGTGGTTGTGTGTGCTTTTTGAGGGTACCCCTTTTTCTGTGGTTTTTCAACCGAAGCCAAAGGTGGGACGCTGAGTCTAGTGCTTTTGGTGGGGAAAACGGGGGGCTAGGGGAGAACTGATCAACTCAGAGCTCGGGAACCTCCGGAGCTTGGCGCAGCGCAACAAAACATGAGCCACGTGCTTAAAACTCGGGTGAAGGTCAGCAACGGATACTCCCAACCGCCATAAATAGTTGCGGAAAGCAGCCGGTTTCTTAATTCTTGAAGCATGGTTGTGGGGATCGACCATTTTGTGTCCCACGTTTTGGAATGTAAATTCCAGTGCTTGAATGCATGAGTTGAATCAATTTATGACCGCTCTTCATGTTGACGGCTGGGATGTGTCCTTCTTTTGGATGCTCTGCCTCCGTAACACGAGCTTGCGACAGTGAAGGTCGTTTACTTGTGGAGCTCTTCTTTCCGGTGTAGAACTATTGTCAAACTTACAGATGGTTGGTTGTTTGCATTCTTCAGTGTGGCACCTTTCGAGCGGACAAGTCGACCGTTTGTGCATGTTTGCCCGTGGAGGGCAGATGCTTGTTGACAGCGCGCATCTTTCAGCAGAAAATAATTTAAATAGCCACACTTGTTCAGACTGATTCCGTGGAGAGGGATTACTTGATCATTGGGGTGAGTTCTTCAGCGGAGTAGATGTCTTGATTAGAATGAGTGCGTTAGTGGTGGATCAGTTACTTGATCACGAGTGTTGTTCATTGCACGAGCAATTTCCTGATTCATCACATGAATCAGGCAGAGGAGCTTACTTGCAGCAATTCCTGTGCACATGATTTCTTCCAGCTAAGCCCGCGCCAACACATGTTCGAATCAGTCACGCCAATCCAGCCCGACCCGACGTTAGTGCCATATCATCCATTTCACTCGGCAATCCATGCCGCGACAATTCTCAACCAAGGCGCAACTCACTGACAATGCACATCCCCCCAGGTCTGGCAAGGATGGTTGTGACTTCTGGGTACCTTGGAACCTGTCCGGCATCGTTTGCTACAAGGCTGTTTTTTTTCTCCAGCGGTATCACAGTGGATTCCACATTGGTGGTATTCCCAAGTTGCTTTGATGTTCTTTCGTGTGGCTTGAAAGGGACACTACGAGCAAACCAACTCTTCATGTGTGGATTTTGAAAGGAACACGAGCAAAGCAACTCTTGAAGTGGGAGAAGACACACACACACACACATGTCTGCACCGGTTTTGCCTGGAGCCCATTGGGAAACCTCCGGATTTCCTGCCAGTTTTGTGCCATGCCCCTTTGTCCGCGTGGGATGCGAAGCGTACCCCCTCTCCTTCCCCCCTCCCCGTCAGGCGGAAGGAGAAGAGGGCGAGGAGAGCGAAAATCGGGCGGCAGTGGGCGAGGAAGTCTAAGGAGAGACACTTTGGGTCCTACCCAGCAAAGCTAGAAACAGTCTAAGAGTCCCTTCTGAGACAACCTCCCCTCTGAGTGGGCCTTGGAGAAAATGCTTAATTATGTACGCATCCTTAGCAAGTCTGGAAAGGGGAGCAATTCTGAAGGCCTTTCTGGGGAACCTTTCGGGAGCGTTTGAACAGGGGACACGCGAACATTTGTTCGGGGAGCACCGGTTGCCGTGAAGCGGATTTGGGGGGTTACAACAAGGGGGTAGGAGGGTAGCGATCCTCTCAGCGATGCCTTTGTCGGATGCCCCAAATATTGTCTGTAGGATAAGTTGGGAAACCCTACAATGTATAGTGAGCAACATTCAGCTAGCACATGCACCCCCCCCTTTTTGTGGCTCGCTCATTCCCGGGCTGAAATCAAACCAAGAACTCATGCTAGCTGTGCATGTTGGTTTGGTTTGCTAACAGATGATTGCTCATGTTACCGATATTTTCCAGGGTTTGGTGGTTTCATGAGCCTCACTCGCTTCGTGTTCAGTTGGCCACCTCAAAACGGTGCGCTACCGCCGGATTCTTTTTTGCGCAGGAGGAGGAGCTTCGCGAGACAGACCCAGAGCTGGACACGGTGAAGGACCCCTGCTTCGACTTGGAGGCAAGATTCTTGCTGAGACCCTCCCTCCAACGGAGGGAGGGTTCTAGTCGTCTTTCCTTGTGGAGCCGCTTGTCTCCATGTGTATAGGAGCCTAAATGAAAAGAATTGGGGTTTGGTGAATTTGAAACCAGATTTTAGTCATAATTCTGGGGGTAAACATTTGTGATGATGTTTGCCCTGTATACTACCTTTTCGATGTGCTCAAGGAAACACGAGGAAGCCAAACAGCAGGCCAAGCTCAGATTTTTGAGGCACGCTCTGTAGGGTGGTCCTTTAGGAGAAAGACTCGGACTTTCTTCAGTCAAAATAGGCGTAAGGACAGTACGGGACGATGGGACAATCCCGGCCATAAATGGGGTTTTCTTGGTCACACAAATGAGTTTGCTTTTTTAGTGCTTTAATGAGGAAACCTTCAAATGCGTGGCTGGTTGTTTGGCTTTTTGTCTAGCAATCCCAGCAGAGGTGCCTGCAACAAAGCAGAAATCCTTTTGTGGAAGGATAAATCAAGTTGTATGGGCATTTTGCGGATTCCAGCTGGCGGTAAGTTGTTTGAGCCCTCTACGAGCAACAGTCCGCAATTTCCGTGATTTACTGCACTCGTATCAATGGGTGGTAAAAGAAAACGATGGATTGGGATTCTTTGGGATGGTTAGGTTATTAGGGTTTAGCGTCTCCACATTCCTAGGTCCCCCAGTAGTGCCCTTCTCACCCCTTTTTCGGGGGGAGGGTTCCCCTACTAAAATAGACTACAGAAAAACATCGGGTACCCTTATTGTATAACCTCTCTACTGGAGGACCTAGTGGAGTTTGGGAGAATCACCTTGGGGACGTTTTTGGTTGGATGCCACCTCCCCTTGATTGTGAGCTGCTTGTTGGATGTGCTTGCCCAATTTTGGGGAGGAGCCGTGACTGCAAGAAAGCACATGCTTCGGCAAGCAGCTGGGACCGCTGCACTCCACATGGGCAGCCTGTGCCTCGCTCCAGGCGGCCGGGCCCCCGCAGCGCGCGGCCTACTTCGGCACGGAGTACTGGAGGGCGGAGAAGGAGGAGGTGCGCAGCAGAACCATTCCATTGCACACGCAGATCTGCATGGGCCAGTGGTTTCCATAGTCGTTAGCAATTCCCCCTGCAAATTAACATGGATTGCATGGGCCAGTAGTTTCATAGTGTTTTTTCCCTACAAATTAACATGGAGCTCCAAATTCAAGTGTCCGAATACGACGCAGGGTCCCACAGAAATGGTCCGTACAACTTTCCGCGTTGAGCCGCAACGGAAACTTGGGTAGATAACGGTGAGTGCTTTCTAACCGAGCTCATTCAGGTTGCTTGTGTCTTTAGAACACCCCTCCATCAATCAACAGGGGTTTGTTCATCCTGGGTTCACATTGACAGTCCCCTTGCGGTAGGCGCTTGCGATTAAAGCAACCTATTGTTGCTCAAAGTTGCGGAGGTGCAGGAAGCCAACCGTTTTAGGGGACCGCCATTGTGAGAAACCTCCAATGCTGTTAATGGACGAAATCCTGCACCACCTCAGACCCTGAAACGATGAATCCGCTGCAAGAACCAACAAACAATGGTTTCCCATGGTTTTTAAAGTGGTGCCAAATAGATTTGGGTGTGGGTCAAAATTAAACCATCAGGGGCCCGCAGGCTTTATTTGTTTCCATTTACCAGTTGTTTTTCTTTTTTTCTTTTTTCTCCTCTGGGGTTACCCTATTTTTGACCCACACCCATTTTGCAACCATCCACAGAATGGGTGGTCCTAACGCTTGCCTGCAGGTGCTGACGCTGCTGGAGCGTTGGCAGGGGACTTGCAGTGGCCTAGCTGCGGCCCGGCGTCAGGTCGGCGGGTGTAACGAGGGATGGGCGAAATGTGTTGAAAGAATCGGACCCCCTTCAAAATGGAATTGGGGGCCAGGGGAGACCCCTGAAATTCCATTTAGGGTTCCATTTTCCCCTTTGTGGGGAAGATTGAATAAATAGAATTGTGGGACCCCCCACCCCCCCTCCCCCTTAAGGTAGGGGGATGTTGAAAGAATCCGACCCCAAAGGGAAGCCTAAACTTCTCGGTGCGATAGGTGGGGAATGACTCTGGGTGTTGGGAATGAACCGGAAGGGGATTGCCTTACAGGAAACCATATGGCTCATTCGCTGTTGAGAACCAGCCAGCAAAGGAAGTTGATTAAACAAGGTTTCAGCGTGTTTAGACAACGAGGCGCGCCAACCCTTTGTTGTAAGCCAACCACATGGCACTGGCGCTAACCCCTTTGGAGGGATTCCTTAGTTCAAAGCTGAAGGATTCTTCATGGGCGGAATCAAACAGCCCCGAGTTGTCTCGGCTGCAGTGGCTGGACTCTGGCTATAGGATTTTCGGCAGTGGAAGACATACAGAGAGGCTTGGAGTCTTCTCGATCCTGGTCGAGTACGAGGTGGCCGTGTGTGTGTGTGTGTGTGTGTGTGTGCGCCCAAAAAACGATCTGAATCCCCACTAGAATGAGTTGCTCCCCCGTACTAAGCTAGGGATTGGTGAATCACCTGCGCTCCCATTGCTGTTTGCCTCAGATGCGTTTCGGAGGTTGGAATCTGTCACTACACTTGCGAATATCACAGTCTTTCTGCAGCTGATTCGGTAGGTTGCTGCTTGAAAATGTGCAAGCCAATGGTCCTCGCTGAGTCTGACTTGTTTCCCAAGATTCGCCTAGAACCCCAAACACATTATTGATACTGTGGATATACCAAAAACCTGCACCGGTTGGATGGACGGATTCGGAGTAAACCAGCTATAAAACCGCCAACCAACTAGACCACAGTGGAGGAAAGTCGTTTGGGGAAATACCTTCTTTTGTGGTTCCTTCCATGCAACAAATGCGGGGGGGGGGTCTCGGTTTGAGGTGCAGGTGTTTTATGGACCCCTTTCCTGCGATCTCTTTTGACATTGCTTCACATGTTGCAATCACTGGACCAGGCTCAAATCTCTTGTGCAGTCGAAAAAAAAACTGGTTTGTTTGACGACTTTTAAACACATGACCAGCTCGGCCTCCAATGCTCTGTACCAAAAGGCGGCCAGGCCAGGTCTTTGGTGTGACTCTTGGTTCGCCTGCGGCCGCTTTTTGGGATCAGAGCGAGCACCTCACTTCCCAGTTTCTGGGCTTCTGGTATTCGGCGGGAAGCGAAGAACTGAAAAGACTTGTTTCGGTTGATCAATGCGACAATCATGCAAGGGTTGTCTCCAACGGAACTAGTTTTCATTGATCAAGCGGGACAAGAAACGGTTTTTAATGAATGCCTTTGGCTGATCATCCATGAAAAACACATGGGCTGTCCATCCAACTAGAGTGGTTTTGTTCGATCAACTGAGCCCCAGGTGCGATCTATCCAACCAGAATGTGACCCTTTGGCTAAGAGTGAGTTCCCATGCTCAGGCAGATGCGGCGGCATATCTGCGGCTTCCTGCTGCTTTGCTAAAAGCACGTGTGCAAGTCCATTGAGAACCACAGACAGCTGGGTTTGCCATCTATGTTCCAACCTGCACATGGTTTCATTCAGGCCTATTGGTGCAACTCGTGGATTTGGTCCATTTGCATGGTCTTGACCCTTTCGGGAGACTCCAAGGGGCCATGGGGGTGTGGCTCCAAGGGGACTACCTGCCCTCCAAACAACTAAGAGGTAAGGTGAGTTGCGTTTCTTGGGAGTGCTTGTTTCGCGTCTGGAAACTCTTGTGGTTGTTTCAAGGGGTAATTCAGCGGGAGAAAGGGCTCGATGTCGGACCGGAGCTCCGCGAGGACCGGAACCCCTTCTTCGCGGAGAACTTTGGGCTGAAAGATCCTTCTGGGGCCTCGAAGCCGCCGTCCCTCGAGGAGTGGCTGCCTCAAGGTGCCGCTTGGGGTCGATCTGAAGTTGTGATGTTGGCGAATGTGTTTTTGGGGGGGGGTTCCGTTTTTCAGGGTACCCTCTTCTTTGGTGGTTTTACTCCGGAAAGCCAAAAAGAGAACAGCCATTTAAGGGAGACCCATTTATGTGTCTGTATGCTCCAGCTTGTTTGATTTCTCCTGTTGCGTACCGTACCTGTATAAAATGATAATAATAATACTAATAATAACAATCATGACAATAAACATGCATTTGTGGAGGCAAGTGATGAACCCCAGACCTCCCGACCTCGCCAGGTTCGTCGGCTCCCCCCGGCTTCCCCGCGCCGGTGCCGCGGCCTGCGGCCTTGGCGGCCGCCGTGCCAGCATGGCACCTGCAGGAGACGGCGCCTTGCCGCCATGCGGCGGGTTCTGTGGGTGGTTGCGAAATCCATCAACCGCACCACCTGAAACACCCTGGTTTCTGATGATTCCCTTGCAAATACCAACAAAAAATGGTTTCCCAAATCCATTTCGCACCACCTGAGACTCCCTGGAATGATGCGATTCCCTTGTAAATAACAACAAACAGTGGTTTCAACCATGGTTTCGTAGGTGGTGCCAAATGGATCTCGCAACCATCCACTGTATGCAAAGGGGCTGAGGGAGAGGGGTGCCATGCAAAGGGGGGAAGCTCTTGGGGTCATTTGGGCATGGGTCAAAAGTAAACCACCTTGGGGGACCGCAGGTTTTAGTCCTTGGTTCGATTGAACAGTGTTCCATTTTGGGGTTCCCCTATTGTTGACCCACAGCCATTGCGGGGTACTGCTGGAAGTGGTCAGGTTTGGAGACCTTCAGACTCGGGTGGGAAGATCCTTTGAAGCCAAAGAAGCAGGGCTTGTTGCGGCCACTCCTCCAGTTGTTGGTTTTTTTGGTGACCCAAAAGGACAGCAAGCAGGAGGACTTCAAGCCGCTCTGTGTGGTTTCTGCGACGACCAACATTTTTGAAGTCAGAGTTCGGCGACTGTCACCAAGACTTGAGTTGGAGCATTGTAAATCGGCCTGAAAAGTTGTGTGCCCCCTGATTGGTTGAGTTACAACCGCTCTTTTCGGTTAAGGAAAGTCAGACCGAACGCCTTTCGATTCCTTCTGTGCATTTGGAGGTTCAACCCATGTATGGGCACACTACCCCACTGTTTGAAGGTCACAGCTAGTTTCCATTGTCTGGTGTCTCCCAACATATTTGTGGTTTGAGGGTAGACTAATTGTGGAACCAACGACAGCTACATAGCTTCATAGCTTGATTTCCCAACCCTCTCCCCCCACCTCAGTTGGGCAAATTCTAGCGTCGTAGCTGCCTTCCTCGCCGGGCTTCCTCCAGTTTCCTTTTTGGAGCCTCCAAAAGTGGCAATCGTTGCAAGGAACCCGCCAGCTATTGGTTTGGATCTTTAGACATTAACTTTTTGGTTGAAACACTGAGTTTTCCATTGACCCCACAACAAGTTATAAACATTTTGGAGACGGGTCCTGCCAGCAACCAAGTAGATTCTTCCATTTGCTTAAGCATATTCGTTGTATTTCCCCTGTTGGTCTTAAAATGAATATGTCACTACTGGGCATATGTGTTTGTTTTTCCCAGGGGACTCAAGCAAATGACTCAAGCAAATGGAGAAATTGATCAACTCCTGACTTGAAATTCAGGCAGCCCCTGGCCCGAGGTGCTGCGACTGCCCCGCAGCGAGGTCTGGGTGAAGCTGTCGGCATCTTCAACTCAAAGCTGCGAGGCATCTGCGCTGATGGCGTGGCTACTTGGACTGGAAACGGCCAAGGGCTGGGGCCCTTAACGTGCCCGGATGGGTGAAATAGGGGACGTTTTTAGGGTCGGACCCCCCAAAACGGTGGGGTTTGATTTCTCTTGGTTTCCGTTTCAAGCCACCAAAAAGGAATACCATCAAGCGATACACACCCAAATAGAGATGAAATAGGGTCGTTTGTCAGTGTTGTTGTTCCTTTTGCTTTCCCTTAAAGCCACCAAAAAGGGGTGCCGTCAAACAGAAGGGGCCCCCACAACTCCCTACAGTTGCTAGGTTATCCTCCCACCAACTGACATGGAACAAAGCAGAGGGCCACTTTTAGAGGAACAAGTTCCAGCTTAGCAGGAGGGAGGGACCTGTGGTTCTACTTCTGGTTCGCGGGTTGGTTGGAGGGGCAGCGCTCAAAGCCCCGGTTGCCCAAGTTAGTAGCCAGTTCTACCATTGTGTTTGTTTCCTCTTTTTTTTTGTTGCGGGGTGGAGTGACGATATAGTATATCTACCTTAGTAGCACCAACAGTCACTGGGATTTGAGCACAGCTCACCTGGGGCTGAGAGGCCCAGCAGGCCAACAAGTTTTCTAGTCCCACTGTTTTCCCTGTTTTATGGAGAAGCCAAACGGAAACTAATTCACCTCTCCCATGACTGCCAATGGCCCCTCAATGGGGCTTCCCAAGCCCAATAGGAGGAATCGCGCCCATCAACGCAGGGTCCATTTAATCTCCCTTTGGGAGATGCACTGTTGGGCCCTTGACAACGGATAACTCACTTCCCGAGTTCCGGCACTTTACCCTTTTTGGGTTTGGACCATTTTAGTGGCAGCAAAAACGTTCTCATGGTTGTTTGCTGCCAATCCACACAAGAAGCGAGTTAAAGCGCCTGAATGGATTTTGGATGATCAACCCAATTATGTGAGTTATAGCCATCCCAGTGCACACCAGTTCCCCTTCCAGTAGGGAATCAGGAAAAATCATGTTGGTTCCCTTACCTACTATACAGGCAGAGATCCTCTGGGCATGCTTACAAGTGCGCCAACCCAACCAGTCATAGGCGTTCTTTTCAGCTTAGTTTGGTTAAACAGTAGATGGCATTGGTTGAGATGTGCTTTTTTTGGTGCCCTATTTATCAGGGAAACCATCTATTTTTCCAAACTCTCCCGCAGGCCACGACGACAGATCCAAACCGAGGCTCGCGCGCGTCATCACGGACTCCTTGAACGAGACAGTGTACCTAGCCGAGCAGGCGAGCTGTGTTGTACCACTTGGGGTCGTTTGAAAATTGTTTTTGGATTGTCTTCCTGATTTTGGAGACACATGTTTATGGCTATGAGTTTGAACGGGCAGAATAATATCTGACCTGGTTGGTTGGTACATCCAGATATTGGAACTGTTTCACCAAAGGGGCCCATAAATATCATACCCAGGTGACTGCACTTTCTGAGGCACGCTTCGGCTTGTTGGGTTCAGAGCGCCCCACAAAGAAGGACTGTTTTGAACAAAGGTTTCCCTTGGCCAAGACGCTTCGCTGCTTTCTTCGACTTATCCGGAGGTACCAGTGATGCAGATCCCTTGCAACTTTCTCATACAGGGCTGTGGGAAACGACCACTTCTGTGATACAACAGAAAGGGCTTCCCAAAGACTAACCCCCCGTATAAAGGGGGATATTATTGTAATCACAGAAGTGGGGATAAGCCATGATAAACCCCTTGATCCCACAACCCTGTTCTGATATATATATATATTAATATATATATATATATTATAATTTAGTTGGGCGGGTGAATTGTATTAGTGCGGATGTTGGCGAGTCACCCCAAAAGGACATCACACATATTTAGGCTGGTACAGTTACACGGATGACAGTTTCGCCCGAAGGCAATTTCACCAAAGTAACCATGTTGTTGTTTTGGGGCCATAATTACAGTTTGCTGTTCAGCAAGGATTGAGGGAGCCCCAAATTGAAGCTTATTTAGTGTCCAAGGGAATCTTCAGATTCCCCCAAGCTCGTTGAGCTGGTTTTCTAGGAACAGCAAGCTGAACACCATGAGACTTTAGCTCAGTCTGTTTGAACATAATATTTTGATAATTTTCTCATGAACGCCTTGAACTGTCGACAAGGACACCTACAGTGGTTGGACGAAATCCTGCACCACTTGGCAGGTGGTTGATTCCAGTATTCATAGGGCTTTATCCAATCCAATTTCAACTGGTGCCGGTCACGTACCTCAGTTTGCTGAAAAACGGACGACAACTTTCTCAACTGGAGGTTCGTCGAAGCTGCCCTCTTGGGGCTCCGTTTTTCAGTGGACCACACGGGGACCACACGTTGCCCACAACGGGAAACACGGGGGGCGGGTGGGAAGACGGGGTTCGCAGGCCTCCCTGGAGCTGCGGGTCCAGGAGGAGTTCTATGGCCTGGACCTGCGGATCGGAGGCGCGCGGGGTCAAGCGGGGTCGGCGAAGCTTTGTGGGGCTCAGTACCTTGAGGTGTGGTGGAATTGGTAGAGAGGGTCTTGTGTGCTAGTGTGAGGCTCTGGGTCTTTGTGTGGTAGAAGTGGCGGGGATGGGAATTTCGACAGAAGGGAAATGTGGACAACCATGATGCATTCCCAAAACAAGGTCTCCGTCAGTCCCTACTGAGCCGCAAGCTTTAGTGTGTGTGTGTGTGTGAGAAGAATGGAAACCAACGGGAACACCCTTAAAAAAAGATAGACCCATATGGTTCCCACGTTCAGTGTTAGGTTAAAGGGAAGCAACCGATTCCAATTTCGGACTTGGATAGCCCCGAGAAACAGTCAAAGTACTGACCCCACATTTCCAGAAGACTACCCAGTTGCCCAAAGCGAATCGACTGGTTGACCCTTTGGTTTCCCCTTCTTGGTCCACTTTCTGGGAATTTTGGGCCAAGTGAGGATATGAAAGGAAGTTGGTTTGAAAGGGAGTTTGCTCAGTTGGGTGTAAAGGAATTCTATCACAAAACTGCCTGCATTGCCCTCACTTGCTGAGGTTCTGGACTTTAGTTGCCGTTTGAAGAAACCAGTTTAGTGGCAAAGACACAGTTTGGACGTTTGTTCGGCCCACTCTGGTTGGGGGTTCCGAGACATGGGCTGCTAGCCCAAGGCATTGCCTAATTACCTTTTGCCGTTGGTTCCTTTTGGGTTTCCTCCATTTTCCTTTGTAAGCAAAACAACATATAATAAACCTCCTGCAAAATCTATATAATATATAGATTTTGCAGGAGGTTTATTTCAGGTTGATGAACTATTGGTATGGAATTCAATTGGGTGATAGTATGTAACCTGGGAAAGCCATCAAACAGGCAGAGGTAGACTTGTAGCAGGAAGACACTCGCGCCATAGAATAAATTCAAGATGTCGGTGAGAGAGATGTTTGCAGTTTAGGGATAAGTGTGTTTGTGTTTGTGCGTCAAATGCAATGCGGTCATATGCATATACTTGCGTGTAACTTTTCGCGCAGAAGTACTGTAGATAAATACACACATAAGTCAATAGAATGTACATATATATATATGTACAGTTGTCGAGTGGAGCCCTTTCTCCCTTTGCCTTGTGGTGTCACCACTAAACCGGTCCTCCAATCAAACAAAAACGATTTTCGTTTTCGACTTTTCGAGCCACTCGTTGCAACTGGCCATGTACATATATGTATATAGAAATGCTTATGTACATGTAAGCGTGTGTGTGTGTGTGATGTCTACATATTGCCTTTCGTTCCCGTGAGACACAACCAACACCTAGGAATAGACATACTTTGTGGTAGACTCCGTTTACACCAGGTGTTGATTCTGTTTTGAATAGACTACCAGATCCCCCCCCCCCCCCCCCCGTTTCCTCGGGCGCCCTGTGCCACCCCCCAAAGGCCCCACGATGTCCATGACCTATAAATGGAGAGAGAAACACATTTCTGCCTCCAAATGATTGATTTCCAAATGACAGATTTCCTTGGGGCGGCTTCTTTTGCAGCCACCAAACCACCACTACACTTTGTTATGTTCAACAAAAACCAGCGGTTTCCCTAGACCTTTGGTGGCTTTGAGTGGGGAAGTTATCTCTTACCTCCACTAGGTCTCCCAGCGGTGCCCTTTCTCACCCCTTTTTTGGGGGAGGGTTCCCCTACTAAAATAGACAAAAAAGAAAAAAAACATCGGGTACCCTGGCGCTAACCTCTCTACTCTTGGTGGCTCCCAGCCATCCCCTTAGCTTTTTAGCCTTTTTAGAGTTTAGTGGTAGTTTCCATTTAACCCACGAAAGGTTAAACTTTTAGCGGGGGATCTGAGGGCAGCCCAGTACTGGAGCACCTCGTCCAGGTCTCGTTTTTGTTTTGCCGCAGGCTTCCACGACAAGCTGCCGCAGCTCCTAGCCCACGGCCTGCAAGCAGTGCGAAGCTGTGCGGAGACCCTGCGAGGCGGATCGCGGATCCGGCCGAGAAGTCCTCGGGAGGGCCGTGGGTTTGGTTCAAACTCCGTGCCATTTTTGCTAGACTTCTGGGTGTCCTTGTTGGTCAGTTTGGTTGAGAAGCTAGAGGGCCCTGGTTTACCCGGCGGTTTCAGCATAAACCGGGGCCATCTATTTTGCAAACAAGGACATGTGTTGCTGCATGTCTGGAAGGTTCTTGTTGAATTTGCTTGTAGACCCAACGATAGTTTAATCCGTTTCTCACTCCGAGTTTCTCAACTTTATACTTGTGTGAAGACCGTGTTCATGACCAAGAGCAAGTTGACTTTGATTGGCTCAGCCCCTCAGGAAGAGTTTCGAGGACTTTCAACAAGTCATTTGTTTTTGGAGGGGGGAGTTCTAGAAGCGGACATACGCCTCCTTTGGGTTGGTGTTTGTTCTTGGGAATCGAGAGGGGGTTGTGTTCGTTCTAGGGAATCGAGAAGACGTCTGCTATTTGTCGTGTTTAAAGGTTCACATTGCGCAGTTCCCAAACCTACTGGGGGTGGACGACATCCAGTTCGCACCGCTTTGAAGCCATGGGAAAACATTGGTATTTACAGGGGAATCAAATCATTCCTCGGTTCTTTAGGCGGTACGAAATGGATTTCGTCCATCCACAGCAAGATGAACACCGACAATGGTAGAAGGTTGGTCAAGGGATGTCAAGGGTTTCAGGTCAAATGTCTACCTTGTGGCGATCGGGGCTTTAGAGCAACGCGTGGCCCTGGACTCCACCGTAAGGCCGCGAGCAACTTACTTACAAACAGAGGAATGAATCGGAATGAATCATACAGGCTGGGGAAGGGCAAGCAGCTGGGAAATTGGATCACCTACTGAGAAGACCTGGCCTTAAAGTCGTTTCATGTTGAGAGGCTCTGAAAAACAAACTCTCTGGGGTGGTGTTTATCTTTGAGCCAGCAGCTAGATGAGGTATCTTGGATGTGACTGGTAACATCCTCAACAGCTAACTGCTGGTCAAAAAAGGCCACCGGGACCCAGAAGTCGTTTTGAGGAGTCATTCCTCATTCCCTGTCGCACCCAACGGACCGGCCACTGTTGCAAGCCCCAGGCGGCGCAAAGGAATTTGAGCGCCGGGCTCTGGCACAGAAGGAGGAGCTGCTGCGGGGCTGGAGGAGCGAGGGGGATGGAAGAGGAAAGGAGGTTGGCTCTAGCGGTTGAAGCACTTGTTTGAAACTCTCAGTTGTTCAAAGCCGGCCTTTTCATCTGTTGTTTTTTTTCCGTTTTTGGTCCATTTGTAGTAGACGTCCCAAAAGGTTAGCTTTCTATTTTCATTTCGTTTGGGCAAGTGAGAGCAAGGAGGTGGCCCAACCCTGAATCTCCAGCGCTTCTGTTTGGGAAAGTGGAACAGTGGAATTAGGGGGGACTCCCCTTCCCACTTAAGGGGGATTTGAAAACTCTTTTCCACAGATTCCCTTTCTACCCGAGGATATGCTTTGTACTTGGGGGGGCAAGGTATCACAGTACAGCACAACATAGTTGGGATTGGTGGTTTGTCCCATTCTTTGTAGGGCTTCATCTGCTTTTCCACAGATATCTCACCTCCTGGACCGCTTTAAAAAGCGAGGCGACTTTGCTTCTGGGATGGTGTTCAAAGGGGCCATAGCAACACACAGTAATACCAGGGTATTTGAGTTTGGGTAGGCTTCCATGGGTTTTTACAGGCACGTGATATGCGGTTAGTTTTTTGTTCTCGTGGCGTTATTGGCAATGGGCCCCATGTTTGCTGCCCTCCTTTCTGACTCCTCTCAGCCCTTAGACCCTATAGACTTTTCTTAGCCATTCTAGACCACCAGACCTCCAATCCTACTGTGGATGGCCAAATTCCTGCACCACCTAAGCAACCTCGGAATGATGATTCCCCTGTAAATACCAACCAATACTGGTTTCAGCCATGGTTTCTTATTAGGTGGTGCAAAATGGATTTCGTCCATCCACAGTATGCAGTATGTGTGTCGCTTGATTTTCCCTGTTCATTTCTGGCCCAGGACTGGGCACATATGCTCCCCGAATGACCATGGATTGGGATTCAAGAGGAATCTCCGATAAACAAATGGGCGTTTGTTTGTTGGGATCCGTGTTAATCTGCAGGTGTTGGTGGTTCGAACATCACTTTTTCATGGTTGTTGTTGGGAAACATTTTACCTTTTTGCTTATTGTGGTTTAGTGGTTGAAATCCCCACTTAACTGCTAACATTCAAATTGTTGCTCCCCTTCCAACGTCAACCAAGCTTTTGGCTCCAAAAAACCCAACGGGCTCAACGTGCCAGGAACGAGTACATGAAGCCAGAGGACCATTGCGCGGACCTGCGCCGAGCCCTCGCCACGCGGCTAACAAACAGTCAAAGTGATGGTTTGATCGATCGAAGCGGGGCTGTTGTTTGCTTGGTTCTTGCGTTTGGCGGCCTCGTTTCTTGGTGTTTTTGTTTGTTTGTGACTTTTTGTTTGTGTGTGTGTGTGCTTGTTCCATTTGAGCTTGGTTGCCGTTTGATTGACCGCGGGCGAGTGTTTGTGCTACTTGTTTATCTATTAGTTGAATTGTATTTCCCTTTGCTGTGTTGAAGGGGAAGTTGGGTCGTGAAGATGTTGTTTTGGACTTGGGCCCCGGTGTAGCCTTCTGCAAATTCACTCTAAGCTCACTCCCAGCCACTCTAAACCGACTTGAATGAAGTTGTCCGGAAAACCCCACAAACTTTGGGAAAGCATCCCGAAAAGCAAGGACGGCCGGGATGCAGGGTGGTTTGTTGATAGATAAGTCCAAACCATCCTGTGCTTGCTTGTGCCTTGTGTGGCAATGAGAAGGACAAGCAGTTGCTCCCGGAAAACAATATGCAGAAGCAATCGTGTTGCTTTTGGAGGTACATGTTACTCCCGTCAGCCCTAAATTTATGGCAGCCAATGTCAAAGCTCAGGTTTTAGATAGTCACTTTCTGTGAAACCAAGACACTTTTTTCTTTAAAGTAGTGAAGTCGCGCAGAAGGGGTCTTTCTGATCGAAGCAATTCCCTCCGTTGTGTTTCTTTTCTTTGTTTTCTCGCTGCGGAGGTCTTTGCCAGATTGGTCAACTCTGATATACCCTCCCAAAACAAAATACAATTGGGTCGTGTCGTTTTGGTTTCCCTTGAAACAGACAAGCAGGATGACTAGCCTCAAACAGACACCGACCACTTGGGGAGAAGCGTTAGTTAGCAGCATCCCTGCAAGGAATCCTAGACTTGATTTCTTGTGTTTAGGGAGGGAGGATATGGCCACCTATGGCTCGATTTTGGGGTGGATGAACATCCATTTGCAACCTATTTTGATGTTCACTAGGGGTACAGGGTTTTGACCCACAGCCATATGGATTTGTCTTCAAGCGGGAGAATCTGCAAAATGGGTTGAGTTCCCTTCGGATTTCCGGACTCGCTCCACAGGCAGAAGGACAGCCAGCAGTGAATCATGGCCCCGAATTAGTCAGACGGGTGGACTACTGGAATGGTGTGTGTTCTGATACCATCTATTTCGGAGGAATGTTCGTTTGGAAAGACCCCTTTTTTCAGGTTCCATCTTGCTCGCTGCATGTCTGGACTCAAGGAACTGTTCGGGTCTGGGCTTTTTGAGTGGCACTGAGAGTTTAGGTGAAATTGGCCCATCCATCCCGTGAGTAGCTTCTACTGCAAAAACAAACCAAGTCCCAACCGGAGATTCCTCCTCAAGTGGGTAGTTTTTGCAGGGGGATAGTTATGATCCCATGACAAGTGCCAAGTTTATTCCCATCCCATCTCTCCCCGTCCCATCCCCAGGCCACCCCACCCGACCCGACCCGACCCCACCCGACCCGGGCCACCCTCGCACGGGCGCCCGGCGCCGAGGTGATGCCCCACAAGTTCCTGAGCCTCAGCCGCGCGGAGGCGCTGCAAGACGTCACCCTGGCGCAGCTCGCAGACTTTGCGGAGGCGGTGAAACCGAGAAGCCGGGGCGGGCGCACGATGCTTCATTTTCCGCAAAGGACACCACAAGGGGATGCCTCAAAACGGGGGAAGCCCAAACAAGGGTGATTGAGCTGTTGGTTTCCTTTATTTTCCTTTAACACAAGCCTAAAGGGGTTTAAACACGCCACCCATGTGAATTTCTTCGAACCCCCCCATCCCCCCCCCACCCCCCAGCAAATATCAACTGCTTGCCCATGCCGTTCCTGGGGGTTGGGAAGTCGGACCCCTTAGCTGACCCCGGTTCAAGAGAAATCTACTGGAGGTTTGGGAAGTCCGGAGAGCGGTTTAAAGCCAGGTCTGCTCCCATATGCCTGACTTGATTGTCGTTTGGACCCATGGGCCACCATGTGAGGGACCGGAACAAAAACACGGATAGCACGTAGGGCATGGACAATCACTGGAGGTTTGGAAAGTCTTTCGGGGCCATATGGTTGTCAATGCTTTAAGCCCTACTTGGACCCCGGCTGTGCCTTTTGATGTTCGCACCCTTTCTTGTTTTCACAGCAAAAAACTCTGTGGTCGAGTTTTTGGGTTTTAGTCACTTTTTGGGAAGACCGTTTCAGTGGAAAACAAAAAGTGTATCCTCCCTCACACTATCATGGCTCCTGACAATTGGGGCCTTCAAGAGGAAACTGATCTTTCAGGTACCCTCCCAGCCTTGCTATGTTAGTGGGCGGGAAGGTAGACTTTTCTTGCCGGTGCTCAGCAGGAAATGAGGGAATGAGCCCTATAAACCCATGCTTTGTGGGTTCATTCCCGCATTCCCTACTGAGCACCAGCCAGTTTTGTTCTGGCCGATCCACTCTTTGGGAAGTGGAGTTATTGGGTTTTAGCATTTTCTTTTGGGGGAAGACAAGTTGTGGTGGTAACCAAAACGTTTCAGTGGGACAAAACAAAAACATTGGCCGATCCGCTCCATTTGTCAGGCGCAGGTGCCGGCGCTGGAGCTGGAGGCCTTGTGCCAGGGCAACTGCACGGCAGAGGAGGCCCGAGGACTGGTGGACTCCCTGCCGGCGCCTTGGCAGGCGGCGCTTTCGGATCACACGGTGGACGAAATCCATCCACCGCACCACCGTTCAGAAAGCCTGGTGCGATGATTTTCTGGTAAACACCTACAAACAATGGTTTCCATGGATTCAAAGTGGTGCAGGAATTCGTCCATCCACTGTCGTCCTGTTCAGGTTGGTTTGGGAGGAACTAGACGGGTTCCGCTGGCTTAGATGGGTTTTATACCTAAAACAGCAACAAAGATGGATACAGGAACCTGAAGAAACCACCAGAGACCCGAAAAAAGATCACTTAACATAGGCGTCCTTCTTGGGCTAGTTTAACTAGAAATAGATTGGTTTTACTGGTTTAGATGGCTCTCGGCCCCCATAAAAAGGGTTGGGTTCCTTTTAGGTTCCCTTTGAGAAACCATCCAACCAGCGGGCCCCCTATTTGGGACCACATGGTTTCCGTTTCGTTTTCCTTCAAACAACACCCAGCCAAACGAGGTGCCCTCAACAATGGTGAGACACCTTGGACAACGCCCCCAAAGAGCGCCGGTAGGTAGGTAGTACTCATTGGCCTGCGTCCATCCCGACTGGTGCCTGGCGCGGATTTTGTCCACACCCGCTGTTCGCGGAGAGTTTCAAGGGAATGGCCTTTAAACTGTAAAGCCATGCGACTCGGCTGTGCCAGCGACTGCTTCAAGAAAAATAACATGAAGCACTTCAAGTTGGCATAAGACGTATGCTTTGGGTCCCAAACTTGAGGTCCTATTAGATGGGCTCAGCTGCTTAAAGTCTGTGGACGAAATCCATTTCGCACCACTTGGAATAGAACACGTGAATCTGGGGATTAGTCACCTACCAACTGGCAGGATTTTGCCATCCACAATATGGGAGGGGGTCGCCCATGTTCAAAGTTCACCCCGGTTCACTTTTACTAACTCCGGGTTTCATCACCTTTCGGTTGCCAAGGTGAGTGGCCACAATTTCGTGGGTCCACTATTTCAACCATACGCCCATTTAGTTTCCATTGTGAACATACTGTGGATGGACGAAATCCTGCACCACCTCAGAGACCCTGAAAGGATGATTCCCCTGTAAATACCATCAAACAATGGTTTCCCATAGTTTCCAAGTGGCGCGACATGGATTTTGTCCATCCACAGTATGTTGGCCAAGATTGCATCTGAGCGGTTGCCGGATCCATTCCCAACTCGGATTGCGCCTTTGGGGCCATCTCTGGGTTTGCCACCTCTATTGGTTCCAGGGAGTCATGGCGCATCCGGGTGTTGGTGGCTTTCTTCCCGGGCGTTGGTGGCTGGTTTGAAAGGATCCCAAGAAAAGTTCTCCCGAGAGAAGTGGTGACCCTCAAAGGCAAGTGCTCTCTCTCTTGATTTTCCCAAGGGCAGGGGGTCACAAAAGACAAACTCTGGCAGTGGGAATGGTTCCAAAACCCTAATTGACGGCTTTCCCGCTGCTTCCGTGAACCCTAAAAGGGTACTACCTCCCAAAGAAACTCGACAGCCACCCCCAACCACTGCTTGTTGGACAGTGCTTGAGATGTTGCACACGGGAAAAAGCCGTGGTTGGGGGGTGCTGGCCATTCTGGAAAAAGTGTTCTTCTGCTCCGCTGCCAGTGTCCGGGGCAACACCATGCCTCGCTTTCGGTCCGGCGGTGCTTGGGGCTGGTGATTGCGTGCTTAGGGGCCTGGTTTGAGCTCGAAGCTTGGTGCATACAGGAACCAAGCTTCAAGACGCAGCGGTAAGTCATACGGGGCTCCGTCACAACAAGAAAAAGCGCTAAGCCGCTAAGCGGAACTCATTGGCCAAATGATGGAACAAATGCTTCGTACTGGGACTCCAGTCCATGAATCAGGTCCTCTTTTCCAGGATGGCCGTTTTTACCTCAGGAGCTTATTACTCAGGGGCCCAGCAGGGGGGTTCTGCACTAGGAGCACTGAGCAAAAGCCCCCTGCAGCTTCCATGGGAGTCCAGCCGCCGAAAGGGCTATCAAGAACAAGGCGTTCTTTCGGTCACTTTCGTTGAGCCTTGAGCACGGATTGATTTCGCTGGCTTCAGTTTAGTTCATTGTTCAGTTAGTTGGCTGGCTGGTTTTGACCATACATAGATATGTGCACGCAATATAAGATGTATATATTTATACATGAGTACAATATATATACATATATATATATATACACACGCACGTTCAATGTGAGACTCATCTATTGTAGTACACACATATATATATATATACATATATATATATATATATATACATATATATATATATGTATATACATATAATATATATATATATATACATAGGCGTATCTGCGCATGTTTATTCTATCGGGTCTGACCTTCATCCAAGGCGCTGCTCGGGCGAGACACCTCCACGCCCTCAGCTTCGTCCGCGCATGCGGCGCACCCAGCGGTGAAGGTGGTGGAGATACCCAGCGGTCAGCCGGTGGCCCGGGCACTCGGAGGTTGGCTTCAAACGAGAGGCACCGTCGCTTTTTTTGGTTCAGTTCAACACACCAAACAGTAAGAGGGAAACCATTAATTATCTTATTCTTGTTTTTTTTTCAGTTGAACAAACCCAAGTGGAAACCGTCATTTCTCTGGTTGGTCTTTTCCAGTGAACAAACCAAAAGGGAAACAGCCATTTTGGGAGGGTGGCCCTTAACTTACTGGTGTGATAGGGAATGCCCACGAGACCGGGCGAGAGGGGGTTTCGGGAATGAACCCTTGGAGATTCCCGAAAGGGAGCCGAACTGGGGATGGTTTAGTTCGGGGTGACGCCCGAAATGTCACGCCATTTCTCATTTGCTGAGAGCCAGCAAGCAATTTGGGGTGTAGTTTTTTTTTTTTTTTTTTTTTTTAAATCCGTAACCCCTCATCGGCGGTTTGAGTTGGTGGTGGGACTTGCACTGGATCTTGTAAAGGGTCAATGGGAAACCACACCACCAATCCACCACTAGTTAGGGGGAAGCTGAATTTCGAGGTGGTTTAAAGGGAAGTTTGAAGGGACACCATTGGGGAAACGCATACCTTTTGTTTTGTCGGGGGTCCCTAGTTTGCCACACTCTCTTAACCTCACGCCCTTCTTCCCATTTGGGTGGACGAAATCCATATGGCATCATGAAATGATGGAAAGCCATTGTCACCAGCGCGATCTAGTTGTCCAAAAGGACACCTTCCGCTTGCCCGTATAGGGCTTAGCTGCTTAAGCACAAGACCCCTTGAGAAATATGACCGCCGTACCCGCCCCGTTCTGTTCAACACCTGAGAGAATGTGTGATAAACGGGCAATTCAAATGGAGGGACTCAGGCGAGGCGCAACCACTGCACCACTGTGATCATGTGTCCCGGGGTAGAGAGCGCTCTAACATCATGGTCGCTGTTGGCGAAGTGTATTGTGGTCTTGCAGTTTTTATTAAACACCAGGCTGGGGCAATTTGTGTTTCAACACCCAGACTCCCGACCACGGCCCCCCAAAGAAAAGGGAAACCCAAAGGAGGCTGTTAAACAAGGAGTGTTTCAAGGTTGTTTTAACAAGGGGTTGGCACCACCCTGCTAACCACCCCAACAATTGGTAGGTTGTGCAGATCCAAGACCAGCCGAGTCCTGCGCCTCACAACTTTTGGCAGTTCAGGTTTGGGTTCAGGATAGCTTGGACCCCGGCAACCGCAACGTCGCACTGGAGATGCCTCTCGCTCCAAATCGACCGCCCCGATTCGACTTCCAGTGCCCTGAAAGTTCCATTTTTCTGTGGGCTGGGTGTCACTTCAAAATCATTCAGGGAACCACGAGTTGGTTGGGTGTGCCTTGAAATCAGCCAACCAAAAGAGGACGTCCTTTTCCAGACCTGGCCACTGGCGGTCTGGGATTCTATGGACACTATTGGTTCATTTGAGTATTCCCGCCCAGGTCAGTAGTCGCCCATGCTCCTTCCCGATTGAAAGCTATCCCTGGTTGATCGCTAGGGGGGTGCGAGTGAGCCTCTTTTAAGGGAAGCGCGTGTTGGTTTCAACGGGAAGCCAAGCGAATCCACAGTTTTGGGGCTCCCTGATTTGAGACAGCCCCATCTACAAGTTTCATTCTTCCGGGGTCAATGTCGATTCTTTGCTAATTGGTTTGTTGGCTGCAATCTAGGGTCTCAGCCACACACCTGCACCCCCCCCTTGCTGGGTTAGCACAGCCGAACCCCGGGAGTCATTCAAAACTCAAGCCATTCTTCTTGGTCCATCAAAGGGAACATTTTGCGGGGTTCTCCGAAATACGTTTGGGGGTTGTTTCCCTTTAAACCACCGAAATAGAGGGCAAAGTTGAGGCAGTCTTGCTAAGAAGGACGTAGTTTTCAGAGGAGTTTTCCTTTGGCCTCCGCTCTGGAGCATTTTGGATTCCCTTCTGGATTCGGCATCCGAGACTAGCCTGGACCTTTGGCTCCCCGGCTTACAGCCGCCCGTTCAGCCAGGCGGATAGGTCTCCCGATCAGGGCCTAACCCTAGGACTTAGGGATGCAGCCGCATAGGGCGCTGCCTGAAGCCTACAGATCCACAATGCCTAGGGATGGATGAAGCCCTACACAGGATAAAGCACCTACCTTGTGGTGCAGCATTTTGTTCATCCACGGTATGTGCTCATAGGCGTCCTTTTTAGGTTAGTTTAACTAGAAATAGATGGTTTCCACTGGTTTCGATTGGTTTCATTCCATTTACCAGGCCAGCTATTTTGCCAAAAGAACACTGTGGCTGAACAAAATCCTGCACCACATAAGGAACCCTGGAAAGATGATTCCCCTGCAACTACCAACAAACAATGGAAAACCCCGTGGTTGGAAAGTGGTGCGAAATGGATTTCGCAACCATCCACAGTAGGTGTCCTTTTGACCAAATAGATGGCCCTGGTAAATGGAATGAATCCAATCTAAACCAGTGGAACCCGTCTATTTCTAGTTAAACTAACCTAAAAAGGACGCCTATGATCACCATGTGTTTCATGCACCCGCAAGTTGTTCCCCCCGCAAGTTTGCTAGGTAAACCAACCCTATGTATCTGCTCCGTTGTGAGGCTTCCTTCCTTCGGTAACCGCATGTAACGGTTCTCTGGCTGAGGTATTGGCAGTTGGGCCTCTCCCAGGATGAGGCCAAAGACACCGCCCAGGCTCACGTGCGCGCGTACGCGCGCGCGCGTGCGTCTGTGGTCCAGATGGTTTGTGCGGGGGCGTCTTGGAAGGAATAATCTCTGGTGCATTTTGCTTGGATGTTGGGACTTTAACTTTTTGCCAACTAATGGGTTTTCCATTAAAACACTAAAAGTTAAACTTTTAGCAGGGAGCAGAAAGCAACCGAGATGACATTTAGATTGAATCCCCATTGTGACATGGTGAGCCGTCAAGCACAATTAGGTTTAGACAAGACCAAATGCTCATACAACATGCACTAAAACAAAACACCTTACCTAACTTTTGAGGCTTTTTTTGGAGGAATTGTTTGGAGGAAACTCGGGGGACGCTTGGGCATCGTGGACTGCGAAAGCGCCCACTTGAACTTTGGGCCAACGAGCGTGTGTGGTTTTTCCCGTTGTGTTTGCCTGCGGACAAACACAGCAAAAACCAGCAATATACATTTATATGTAACATATCTATGTATCTATGTGTATATATATATATATATATCTATATATATACACATATATGTACACATGTCTATGTTTTAGGCGACCCCAAAAAATGTGGTGTTTCTTTTGGTTCCCCTAAAGGAGTCCCGCAGAAAAACACACCCTTTTATCAGCAATGAAGGCACCCCTATGCTTTTTTTGCCAGAACTGATGGTCTGGGAACAGATGTTCTCCCTTTCCTGTCGGTTTTTGGTGGCAGTATTGTTGGTTTCTCATAGAACGACACCTCTAAATATTTTGCCATCCCTTTTTGTGTGTGTTTTATTAGTGGAGGGGTCACGGATCTCATATTATGAGAACACGACAAATATCGACAACATTAATGGAGAACTCCCCCCCAAAAAAATGAAAGAAAGGAACAAGGAACACAAGCAGAGTTCCTTTGGGGGCCCAGTAGTAATTTTGTTCGGGGCCAAAATACTTGGTTGGTAGGGACGGTCATGGCCTCTTTAGTCGGGATTTTAGACAACCACTGGGGGAACAAGTACTTCCAAGCAATACTGCAAACTGACAAAATCCATTTTGCCACCAGTTAGGATTCGTGGTTTGTCCCACTTTTTGTGGGGTTTCATCTATCCCAAGTGGTGCGAAGCGGATTTTGTCCACACACCGTACAAAGCCAAAGACTAAAACTAACCACAGGGGACCGCAGGTTTTAGTCCTTGGTTCCATTTTGGGATTACCCCATTCCCACAACCAAGCAATACAAATCCAAACCAGGTTCGGGAAACCGAAGGGAGTGTGCGTTTCCCCCTCTATTGAGACAAAGCCGCAACTTCCATTGGCTGAACGGTATATGTGTTACTTCCATTTTTGGTTTTAAAGGGAATCAATTTCACTGCTGGAAAGAGTAGCTGAATTTTTTAGGGGGCGAAAATGCACATGGAGGCAAAGAAAACGCCTAAACCACAAGGGACTTGTTTTTTGACGGTACCTTGTTTTTGGGTTGGTTTAATGGGAGAACCAAAGACGCGATACGCAGGTTCCAAGCATGGCCCCTTCGCATAATATGGGTGTGTCTTCAAGTCGGACTCAACCCCGCCAGAATGGCGAGTTTCCCCCTACTTTCCCCAAAAAACAAGACCCCCATGAACAAATTCCCTTGGATCCCATCCCAAAAAGCGGCCATTCCCAACCAAGGCAAGTGTCCGTCTATTCTCCGAACAAGAAGCCCAAATGCCTGGTGTCCTTTTGATGTCCCTTTGAAACCCAGCCCAAGAAGCAGCCATGTCCCGTTTTGGGAAACGCCCCGCGCGGGTGGAGGTGGAGCTGCTGTCGGAGCTGCTCAGCGAGCCCCTCTTCGACCAGCTCCGCACCAAGCAGCAGCTGGGCTACGTGGCCCCTCGGCGTCCGGATCGGATCGACGACTCGGATCCCACCTGAGCCAAAAATCGGTGGCTGTGGTTGTCAAAACCGTTTTGGGATCCCATTTTGGGGTAGGTGAATTCACCACCCATTTTAGAACCTATTTTTGTGGGGAGTGGGATGGTCTGACTGGGGGTACGATTTGGATTTTGACCCATGGCCAGGTCATTCAGCAGTCACTGCAAGGCGAGTTGGTCGCTGGTCGGTGGGTTTGCGGCGCATTTTTTTGTTATTGCGGGAAACAACGTGCGGGTTCAGGAAACACATGGTGGGAAGCACATGGCGATGCTCGCCTCCATTGCTTCAGCGCACAGGGGAAAATGCACCAGATGTCCAGTAGTGATAGATTCCCTTCAAAACCAACAGGGGAATAAGACATATGGCTGTCGGTGTCAAAAATAGGGCAACCCCAAAATGGCTTGCCCTCGTAAACGGAAAGGACAAAAACCTGCGGTCCATATCCTGGTGGTTCAATTTGGACGCATACCCATGTAGCGCTTTTCGAGACCACTTGGTTTGCACCCAATTTCAGCTTCTGGTGTGACACATCACCTTTACGGACAATTCGAGTTGCCTTGTGGAGTGATGCTGAAGGAACATCGGAGCCCTGCTCCAGGAAGCACGGATGGGTGGTTTCCAAGTACCTTAGTCCTTTGTAGCTTTCGGAATCCTTAACAGATGAACCAACGCCAATGAGAGCATCGAGCCCTTTCCGCCAGACCAAAAGGAAAACCACATGGCTTTTGTGTTTAGATGAGCGCCTGTGAGTTGGCGTGGTTCTATGTTTCTAGTGGTTTGCTGCCATACCCTCGGCTGGGATCTCCCTCCTTAGTGTTTTGTTTGTTTGTTTCACAGCATGATATGTTTGTGAGGGGACAAACGCAGCGCTTAAAGGGAAGTCACAAGGAAGTTCATGTTCATCACTGTTGTTGGCAAGTTTTGTTTGATTTTGGTTCTGTTTATTTTTCTTTAGTGGGCTGCAAACAAACCATGCCAAGGGTTGGACAGCATACATTCTAGGGTTTCTTAAGTGGTGCAGGATGTCGCCCATCCACATTAGGTTGAAGCGGGCGCATGTTCAGTTTCTGACTTCAAACAGTCAAAATCATAAGCTTGCTTTTTGGTTCGGTTCATTCATTCTTAGTAGGCTGAACAACAAGATATACTGTTGCACCCCCATACCAAGAGTTGGAAAGCGCTTATGTCCCCACACCTTTCTTTGATCCTGTTCCCCCTCTCAAGACGGCTTCGCGCGCTTTTTGGCTCTCAGGTCAGCTGCGGCTCGCGCTGGACCCACCGGGTGCAGGGTTTTTCAGTGTGGATCCAGCAGGGGGCCCAAGTGATTGGATTGGGCCAGGAGGCAAGACTCTTTTGGGAGCCCTCTGAATGATTTGACTTATACATATAAATATATTATATATATATATATGTATGTATTACTTTTTTAAGGACACCTATGATTTACTTCAGGTATTTGACTTAGCTGACTTTCTATGTATCTATTACTTGAGTCCTCGTATTCAAAGTTTGACTCCATATTCAAGGGTGTTTCGGACTTTCTTTTGGCCAATCAATTCAGAAAGCGAGATCTACTTTCAAGATATGGCGGGATGGATTCGTTTCTTTTTCGGTTTAGCCTTTTTCCTGCCGCTCCCTTATCCCTTCGAATTGGGCCCCAGAAGATATGAGAGCTGGAAAAAAACCTTTGGGTGTCCGTTGGTTTCTCCTCAAGAGTTCTCAACAAAACGTCGCCCAAAGTCGAGGTGGAGAAAGGTCTGGCAGTGGGAAAAAGTTCGGTGGATGCGAAAATGCTGCAACTGAGCTAACCACGTCCAATCACCAGACCCCGGAAAATCGCGGGAATCATTGCATGGAAAGACACAAGGATGGAATTGGGGAACCCCCAGCCTTGTTCTTGTTGAGGTAGGAGATGGTGAATTACAGGGTTGCTCTTGCTCCCCTACTTGCCTTCCCCACTTGCAATATAATCAAGGCATCCACCTCAGCAACCCATTTATCAACCTCTGGCTTGTTACTGTTCCGGCCGCATGAAGACATTGCACACGGAAAAACGGACGGGTCGGGGTTCTTTTAGACTATCTCATCTGGTTGGCATCCACCGAGATACGGTTCCTGAGCCTCAAGATGACCGACCCCTGGCAGAAAATTGGTGGAGTCTTCTTCCGACCTTTCAAAAATGAATGTAGCCATGACCCTTTTCTTTTGGGTAGTGGGTCCGCTTTTTAAGGGTCGTGAAGACAGGTGGGCAGTTTCCCTGAAACCATCTTCCAACTCTTGTGCCAGGGGGGGTCTTTGGAGTACGTCGGTGTACCCACCGACCTGATTTTCCACAGGGGACATCTCGATAAATGGAATCGGGGCACCTTGGGTCTTCCTAAATGTGATATTCTACAGTTGCCAGAATATAACTAGCCTTCAGGGTTCCTCATGTACGGACAAAATTCCCAATCCGCCTACGAAATCAGCCAGCATGGAAGAAAACCCGAAGGTTTGTTGGCATCTATAGCAGGCGAATCGGGGAATCATCCGAAACCAGTCGGGTTTCTTAGGTGCAGAATTTTGTCCATCCACAGTGATCGAACATACAGAGGAACTGCAGCACCGTGCCTTTGAACTCAGGTCCTGCAAGTTCCCGCCGGCCGAGCTGTGCAAGCGAGTGGACGCCTTCTTGGAGACCTTCCAACGCATGCTCGCCGCCGCTCGGCGCCCTAAGGGGCCACCCAAGGGTCTAGTGGGGTAACTTCCCCAATTCTTGCAAAACCGCACGGAGATAAGTCCTTTTTTCTGGGAAAAGCGCAAACCCATGAAGAACCAGCACGCCCCAACTGCTGTTTCCAATGTCCAAAATCCCAAGACCCGGGTGCTGGAGATGGATCTGGTTGAAACGAGCGATCTTTGAACATGCGAAACCACACCCCTGGAGACTGGGTAATTACTTCCCATGGTTGCACCGCGCAGGGGATCCACCCAACTGAGTTGTTCAAAATCAAATCACCAGACCTTGAGGCAAGTGGGTTGCTTCTGGTTTCCCTCTACCATCCCAAAAGGGGTTGTCCAAAACCAAACCAAAAAGTCCATATGCCGGATGGCAGTATAGTTTCCCTTGTTGCAGTGTCCCGCTACGGATTGCGGTTTTGGATGAACCAATCACCCGTCGTTTCGACTAACCCAGCCCAATGGGCCCGTCACATTGAGGCTTCCCGGTGTGGTTTCCCGTGAAACACCCACCTCAACGGCGTCACGGCCGACCAATTCTCAGACACTGCGTATCCAAAGTTGATGCCTCGCACTTTCCGAGGTGTAGGAAACGGCGGAAAAGTAAATGAATCGCTGAACAACGTTCATTTTTTAACATAAAATTGGTATTACAGATAGAAGACAAGCAGAGTTAAATTATGATTGGCGTCGCCGGGGCACCCAGGGAACCAGAGGGTGTGACGTTATTCGTTCCGAAGGTTCCACTATGATTAGGTCTTCGGGTCCCTTGTTTCCGGAGGGTGAATTCTGAAAAAGATGCCCAGAATCCACGTGGCCGTGGGTCAAAATTCGACTACCAGGATATGGACCACTGGTTTCAGTCCATGTTTCTATTTACCAGGGTTCCATTTTGGGAACCCATGTTTGACCCACTGCCATGTCAACCCAACAATTGTTCGGGCTCCCCCTCTTTGAAGCTCTTATCAAGTGCTTGTTGATTCTTAAATTGGGCTTGCAAACCATGGATGTGCCTTAGAACAGCGGTACCCCCAAACTGGGTGTCTTCTTCCATGTGCTTAAGAATATGTTTTATATTCCCCTGTGGGTGTTAAGGTAATCTACTGTATCATTATTTGACATATTCATCTTTTGCCCGGGCCTCTTAAGCAAATGGAGGTCTTTCCTTCTCTTTCACCAACCCTTAAAAGGGTTCCAAGCAAAACAACAACCTGGCTCAGAGCTGCAGCTTTAGCCAGTTCGCCCTAAGGAGATGAGTGACGAGGACTGCTTCGAACCGCTTTGAATCGGGGTCTGGCGCGAGCCGACCAAGGCAGCCAAGTGAGGTTCTGTCGGAAATTTGAAGATCTGTCTATACCGTCCATCGAGTTTCGGGACATGGAGGACGAATGTCCCACAAAAAAAGGCGGTTGCACTACTTTTCCTATGTCAATCAGGGGAAGCGAGTAACTAGACTATGGCTCAAATGGCTGTGTTCTCAAAGTATGAAGACCCGGATGTGTCCAGATGAATTCGAAGAACTCAACCACCCCATGTCTGAGAAATCCCTAAATGGCATGGTTTTCAGTTTGTTTATATTATGTTTTGTGCGGTTTTTGGGTGGTCCTGGGTGGTGTTACGTGTATTTTCGTTTTGTGTGCGTGTGTGTGTGTGTGTGTGTGTGTGTGGGTGTGGGTGTGGGTGTGGGTGTGGGTGTGGGTGTGGGTGTGTGTGTGTGTGTTTTTCCGTATGGTTGTCCGGTCGGTTTTCCCAGCACGCTCTCGGAGTTTCCGCTCGCCCTCCGGTTTTTTTTCTCCAGGACTTCCGGCGGCAGAAGGAGGCGCTGGCCGCTGCCAAGCTGGAGCCGGAGCGGTCCCTGCAAGGTGGGTTGCCAAGTTTGGTTGGACCAAATCCATTTCGCACCACTTTGAAAATACGGGGAACCAATGTTTGTTGGTCTTTATAAGGGAATCATCATTCCAGGGAGTTGATCCAATTTTCTCGGAACATACACTAGGTCCCCCAGTAATTGGTGCCCTTCTCTCCCCTTTTTTGGGGGTAGGGTTCCCCGACTAAAATAGCCTAGAGAAAAAAATGGTACCCTTATTCTAACCTCTCTACTAGAGGACCTAGCGGGGGAGTGAGTTTCCCTTTGGTTTCCAATTAAACCAACCCAAAAACATGCACACAACAGGGTACCCTCGACAACGACACCTATGATGGTGATGCGTGCCTCCATTGCTTAAGCGCCCAGGGAAAGAATGGACCAGATGTCCAGTAGTGATAGGTTTTTGAGTGAAACCAGCAGGGGAAATACGGGGCACATGGCCACATGGCTGTGGTTGTCGAAAATAGGGTAAACCCAAAATGGCTTGTCCCTGCAAAAATGGCACAACAACCGTCGGTCCATATCCTGATGGCGTCTAATTTGACCCATACCCACATGACAAATGTTGCACAGGTTTTGCGTAGACATGTTGTAGGCTGTACGTCTTAGTACAGACCGGAAGCCCTTTGGTGCTCGTTTGGAGGAAGAGCCAGACAACAACACACAACTGCTCTGTTCTGGATTGCGTTTTGATTGTTCATTTTCTTTCCAGAGGGGGTGCGTTTGGGTGTCCAAGTTTGAGTGTGTGCGCATTTGTCCTTGTGTTTTGCTTTGCCATGGGTTGCATGGAAGGCATACGGCTTGGAAGTTTCCTCAGGAGCACTCAGATATACTGAAGCAACACCAGAACCATTTGTCCTCGTTGATGCTTGGAGTTGATACTTTTCTATACAAAAGGATTGTTTGGGGTTTCAGAGTAGGGCGTGTTGTTTGTGCTGTGTGCATTTTGTGGCAATATTTTGCTGCAGCTATACTACGCTGTGGAGGCAGCTTTAGGTTTGGCCCAACAAAGTGCTTGTTGACTTGACTGCCAACCGCCGGCCTGAGCCTCGCTGCAGAAGACCCGCTTTGATTCAGTGCGATGGATTTCAGCAATGGACGGTGAGAGCTACCTAGACGTGGTGGCTGTGCCAGACGTTTGGGCGGCGGTCGCATGCGATTGGCTCGGAACAAGAAAGACGGCGGGCGCGCAGTATCTACACTGCGATCAGGGAAATCTTGGTCGCGTGGCATTTGTCGGCCATGGCCTACTGCAGGAGCCATATTAAGCCGCTGCGCACTTTACAGACCCTCCAAAAAGAAGCTGGTCAGTTTGATTTGTTCATGAATGGAATAAACCACCAATCCCATTTGGAGCAAAGCTGATTTTGTCCATCCAGAGTAGGGATGCCTTATAGGAAAGAAACCACACTGGTTTCAGAGGGATTCTGGAGGGGGTAAACCCCTTTGAAGTAGACAAAAACAGCGGTGCCATGTGTTTTTGCACCCATGGCCACTAGTGGGGATCCAGGAGTTGGTCTTCAACCAAATCGATTACCAGAAGTGGGTGTGTCTTTATCCCAAAAGAATTCAGGGTCCCAACCCAAAAGGAACCCAATTTGGGCAACAAAGATGTGTTTCTTTGTATGAAGTCGGTGGTTCGCAGGTGTCCGGTTCCCTAGGTGTTTGGGTGTTTTTAGTTGTTTTTAGTTGGTTTAGTGGTTGGGCTTCTATTTAACCCAGAAAAAATGCTATATATATATATACCTGGACCCTCAATCACCCTTCGTTTTTGGGGTGGTGCTGTGTTGCATTCATTTTTGAGGTGTTTTGTCATTTTTTGGGGGTGTTAGTTCCATGTTTGGGTTTTTTTGTTTTTCCATGCGCTGCTTTGTCAACCCTGCAATTTCTCTAGCGGTGTGTTTAACTTGTTTGAGTTAACAACGTTGTTGTTCACTGCGCAGGGCTTGCTTGAAAGATACAAGTGCCAAGTCAAGCAGCGGCGCGGACCTTGCTGTCACCCAATGTCAAACCTCCAGGTTCAGCTCAGCTGCGCAATGCCTTTGATGTTGGCATGGAAGAAATGATCAAACATAATTTGACCTTGGCCCACACAGCTTGAATGCCAACACAACACAAGGGAAAACAAAAGCCGCGATATTAGCCTTGCATTTTTGTGCGAGAAAAGCATTTGTGAGTTGCACAAGTTAAGAAGGCTGCGCCGTTGCGTGCTGCCTAGTGTTGGAGCCGATCACTGAGCCGCAAGGCATCCAAACCAGGTTTCCTTTGGAAGCGAGCAGGTGGCTTGGTGCACCAAAACTCAAACTGATGTTTAGGAGGGCGCTGCGACAATGCAAAGAACCAACATCCCTTAAAACAGGAGTTAGACATTTCGAGTTGTTTCTTCTAGTGTGTGCGGTGTGCTTTGCGCGGCACACATCACAAACGGTCTTTCATGGCAAAACCCAATCTTCTAATGGCTTGAAACAGTGTGCCATGCGCAGTTCACCGCATGCTCATGTAATGTCACTCTACTTTCACGACAGTAGAGTCCAAGAAGGTATAAGTTCAATGAACAAATATTGTCGCAACAAATTGAGAAGGATAGCTTTCGCAGATTTTGTAGCAGCGCGATGGGAGTGATTCCGCATTTGTCCACAGCTCTGTGCCCTTGGGCCATGTGCCCAAAGTTGTTTCAATCTACAAACAACACAAGAAACATCTCAATTAAGCATGATGTATGTTCTGTTTCACCATGCCTCCTAGATGATCAAGTTCACATGTTGCTTCAACGGTGGTTCTCTGGCTAATGCGACTCAGCGCAACATGTACCAGTTGCCCTTAAAGTTGATGTCCTGAAGCAAGCATACAGCCAAAGGGTCCAGTCTTTATATGATAGCAGGCAAGCTTGCAACACCTGCCATTCTGCGAACAGTAGCTGTCACTAGCAATTGAATGCTCGTTCCGTAAGCTCAGTATTCTGCGAACAATAGCTGCCACTGGCAATTGAATGGTCGTTCCGTAACGTCCACCTAGGATTAAACATTGCACCTGGAATAAAGACAAGCACCCGCCACCCCCGCCCAAATGCTCTGAACGAAAAGTATAAGAAACATGACAAAATGGACAAAAAGAGAAAGAAGAGGAGATGTAGCCAAGCCAACACCTGGTCCTTAGGTCTTTGGTACCTTGTTCTTCAGCTCCCCAAAAATCAAACTGTCCAGCTGCCCAAGAAGGCATGGTTTCTTACATGTCTCTTGTTTAAAAACTGCCCGCAATCAAACCTGCAAAGGGGGTGGGTAGTGCTTCAGGCCCCCAAACTTGAGCCCAAGACTTTGTTTCGGGGGTCCCTACAATAAAGTCTTGTTGTCTGGCCCCCTGCAAATATACAACTAGCCCAGCGCAACTACCTATGAAGCTCCGGGCTTTGTTGTTAGATTTGGGCCTGCTTCCCAAAATCAAACATGTGCAGCTTCCCCAAGCTCTTGTTTTCTTGCATGTCTCTTGTTTAAAAACTGCCTACAACCAAACCCACAAACAACCTAGTACTTCACCCCCAATTTGACATTATTTCAGCGGCCCCTGAGATAAAGTCTTGTTGCCTGCCCGCGGCTGCCCGCGTCCAAAAACATATCAAGAGGAAGCTCCAGCAATACAAAATCAAATGGAAACCAAGTTCCAGATCTCAAAAGGAAGCTCCAGCAATACAAAATCAAATAGCAACTCCATTCCAAATCGCAAAAGGAAGCTCCAATGCTAAATCAAATGGAAACTCAGTTCCAGATCTCAAAAGGAAGCTCCAATGCTAAATCAAATGGAAACTCAATTCCAAGTCTCAAAAGGAAGCTCCAGCAATACTAAATCTTATGGAAACTCAGTTCCAGATCTCAAAAGGAAGCTCCAGCAATGCTAAGTCGAATGGAACCAATTTCCAAATCTCAAAGGAAGCTCCAGCAATACTAAATCAAATGGAAACTCAGTTCCAGATCTCAAAAGGAAGCTGCAGCAATACTAAATCAAATCGAAACTCCATTCCAGATCTCAAAAGGAAGCTCTAGCAATACTAAATTAAATGGAAACTTAAGCCTACCAATACTAAAGCAAATGGAAGCAAAATTGAACTGGATCTCAAGATTATTCTAGGCACCCCCTTTGTTGGGGGGGAGAGGGCCCCCCCTTTACTACTCCCAGGCGGACATTACTCCGAACAAAGACCATTTAAAGGACATTACTCCGAACATAGTCCGGATAGGTGGACAGGGTTCGCCGGACCGGTTGGACGGCCCGGACGGGTCCGGACGGGTGGATAGGTCCGGACGGGCCCGGACTATCAAAAAAAGTGTTTTTTTCAAAAAAAGGTGTTTTGGTTCGGACTAGTCCGGGACGGACGCTTAAATACGCCTTTTGGACGCCTAAATACGCCTTTTCGGACGCCCCGCTGGACGCCCAAAACAAAAAAAGGTTTTTTAAATAGAAAAGGTTTTTTTGTATGTTTTTCTCGTCCGGACGCGTCCGGACGCGTCCGCCCGCCCGGACCCTGTCCACCTATCCGAACTATGTTCGGAGCAATGTCCTGTAAATGGTCTTTGTGCGGAGAAATGTCCACCTGGGATTAGTAAAGGGGGGGCCCTCCCCCACCCGAACAAAGGGGGTGCCTAGAATAATCTCTTGAGATCCAGTTCAATGTTGCTTCCATTTGCTTTAGTATTGGTAATTAGACTTGAATTTCCATTTGATTTAGTATTGCTGGAGCTTCCTTTTGAGATTTGTATTTGAGTTTCTGATTGATTTAGAGACTTGGAATTGAGTTTCCATTTGACTTAGTATTGCTGGAGCTTCCTTTTGAGATTTGTATTTGAGTTTCCATTTGATTTAGCATTCCTGGAGCTTCCTTTTGAGATTTGGAACTGAGTTTCCATAAGATTTAGCCTTGCTGGAGCTTCCTTCTGAGATCTGGAATTGAGTTTCCATTTGATTTAGCATTGGAGCTTCCTTTTGAGATTTGGAATTGAGTTGCTATTTGATTTTGCATTGCTGGAGCTTCCTTTTGAGATCTGGAACTTAGTTTCCATTTGATTTTGTATTGCTGGAGCTTCCTTTTGATACTTTTTTGGACGCGGGCAGCCGCGGGCAGGCAACAAGAATTGATTTCAGAGGCCGTTGAAATAATGTCAAATTGGGGGTGAAGTTTCTGAAGTACTAGGTTGTTTGTGGGTTTGGTTGTAGGCAGTTTTTTTACAAGAGACATGCAAGAAAACAAGAGCTTGGGGAAGCTGGACATGTTTGATTTTGGGAAGCAGGCCCAAATCTAACAACAAAGCCCGAAGCTTCATCGGTAGTTACACTGGGCTAGTTGTATATTTGCAGGGGGCCAGACAACAAGACTTTATTGTAGGGGCCCCTGAAATCAAGTCTTGGGCTCAAGTTTGGGGGCCTGAAGTACTACCCACCCCCTTTGCAGGTTTGATTGCGGGCAGTTTTTAAACAAGAGACATGTAAGAAACCATGACTTCTTGGGCAGCTGGACAGTTTGATTTTTGGGGAGCTGAAGAACAAGGTGCCAAAGATCTAAGGACCAGGTGTTGGCTTGGCTACCTCTTCTCTTCTTTCTCTGTTTGGTCCATTTTGTCATGTTTCTTATACTTTTCGTTCAGAAAATTTGGGCGGGGGTGGCGGGTGCTTGTCTTTATTCCAGGTGCATTTTTGGGGGAGCCACCCATTTGTCTTTATTCCAGGTGCAATGTTTAATCCTAGGTGGACGTTACGGAACGACCATTCAATTGCCAGTGACAGCTATTGTTCGCAGAATACTGTAGCATGCCTTGCAAGCTTGCCTGTTATCATATAAATACTCGACCCTTTGGCTGTAACAGTGAGGGTCTTGGGGCAGTTTAGCGCTGTGAGCAAAGCTTAAAAGCAATATGCTTGCTTCACGGCATCAACTTTAAGGGCAACTGGTACATGTTGCGCTGAGTCGCATTAGCCAGAGAACCACAGTTGAAGAGTTGAAGCAACATGTGAACTTGATCATCTGGGAGGCATGGTGAAGCTGAACATACCCGAATTTGCAAAGTATTGTACATCATGCTTAATTGAGATGTTTCTTGTGTTGTTTGTAGATTGAAACAACTTTGGGCACATGGCCCAAGGGCACAGAGCTGTGGACAAATACGGAATCACTCCCATCGGGCTGCTACAAAATCTGCGAAAGCTATCCTTCTGAATTTGGTGCGACAATATTTGTTCATTGAAATTGTACCTTCTTGGACTCTACTGTCGTGAAAGTAGGGTGACATTACATGAACATGCGGTGAACTGCGCATGACACACTGTTTCAAGCCACTAGAAGACGAAGACCGGGTTTTGCCATGAAAAACCGTTTGTGATGTGTGCCGCGCAAAGCACACCGCACACACTAGAAGAAACAACTCGAAATGTCTAACTCCTGTTTAAGTGATGTCGGTTCTTTGCATTGTCGCAGCGCCCTCCTAAACATCAGTTTGAGTTGTGGTGCACCAAGCCACCTGCTCGCTTCCAAAGGAAACACCTGACTTGGATGCTTTGCGACTCAGTGATCGGCTCCAATGCTAAACAACACGCAACGGGGCAGCCTTCTCAACTTGTGCTTTGTCTCACACATAAATGCAAGGCTAATAACGCGGCGTTTGTTTTCCCTTGTGTTGCGTTGGCATTCAAGCCGTTTGGGCCAAGGTCAAAATTATGTTTGATGATTTATTTCATTCCAACATCAAAGGCATTGAGCAGCTGAGCTGAACCAGGAGGTTTTACATTGGGTGACAGCAAGGTCCGCGCCGCTGCTTGAATTGGCACTTGCATCTTTCAAGCAAGCCCTGCACAGTGAACAGCAACGGCCCAAAGAACACCGCTTATCGTGACAACACCGTTAAACAAATCCGCTGATGGACTTTCAGGGCTTTACTTGGCACAGAACCAAAAAAGGTGTTTTGTTCAAGAAAAGGTGTTTCGACAAAGAATGCCATTCTTTACATGTTGCCCCAAAAATTTGGGGTGGTTTGAGACTCCAGGTATATATTTTTTGCAGGGGATCTAAGCAGAGGCCAGTGCGGAACTTAGCCAAGTTGCTGCTTTTGTCCAGTCATTTTACCCAAACAGATTGTCACAGTTGCTGGGAAAAAAGGACAAATGGCGATCCAAAAGCCCAGTGGTCCCCAGCCAAAAGGATGTTGTTTCCAAGAGGCTATGTCGTTGTTGGACTTGGCACTAGGGTTGGTTGCAAAATGTATCTATATTAACCCCCCTGGGTCCACAAAGTTGGCATCCGGTTGCAAGGATTCTCAGAAAAAGGGAAACCGAGTGGATACCGAGAGGATGTTGTTAACACAGTCGACGGTGGGTGAACAAACTTGTCCACAGCCGACCTTTTGGCAGTCTTTTCTTTTATATGGGTGTGGCTCAAAATTAAACAGGAGGCTTAAACCGCAGGTTTTGGTCCATGTTTCCACCTACAAGGGTTCCATTTTGGTACCGGTGTCTTGAGCCACAGCCATATGTTTGTCCATTTTATTCAAGGTCCCAACAGGTGAGCCAATTTTATTTCCAGGAAGTTCAACGAAGGCTTGATGTGCCCGGGGGAAGTCGAAGTTGGCTGGGTCCGGCAAGGGGTCCAGCTTGAACTTGCGTTTTCCACCAGTTGGGGGGTTGATCGATGAAAATAGGATGACCATTGGGGAGACCACCAACAAAAGGATGACTTTCACCACTAAATGCTAATTGGGAAGAGTAACCCATCGCCATTTTGGGGGCCACGAATATGGATCAACCCCCAGTTGTAGCATTCTCTTTTCTGCTTCCAAGAAAAAACACCCACCGGTGCATTCGGCATCCAAGTCAAACCCTAGAACTTGGGGCTCTCGCAGAGCTGAAGCGCTTTGGAGGCATGCAGCAAGCAGCCTGGGCCGAGCTGCAAGAGAGGAGCTGTGAACTTTTGGCAATCTCTCAAGCGTGCCATCCATCACTTAGAACGAGGTTGCGGGGATGTTTTGTCCAACCTGAAGATGCATACGGTGATTGTTTTAGGAAGCGCCCATCTGTTTTGTTCCCGGCAAGTCTCGCCTGGATGAATTGATGCTTGGGCGATGCTTTGAAATGGAAGGGTGATAAGATGGGAACAAGTGGCCCAACACATCTCGACACATTGTTTCTTCACCCGAAACTGGGAAGTAGAACAACACTTTGGTGTGTCGTTTTCATAATATGTTTGGCAACGGGAAACCAACATGAAAACCACCATTTTTTTGCCCGCTCCTTCTGGGGTTCGGGCCAAACAATCATTGGAGATATGGGTCCCAGATTCACCAGATACGGCCGGCTATCATGTCCTGCCAGACTCAAGTCATGCCGCGTTCGCCTTCACAGGAGTCACTGCTTCGACAGGCGCCTTGCGGTGAACCGGGGGGGGGGGGGAGGTTTGCAGAATTCCTTATGTGGGATTTTCGACCATGCTGCGTTCCTGTTAAAAGAGCCATGACTGTAGCCCACATGAGCAGTTTCCCGGTGGCTGATTTGTTAGATGTCGCGTTGGTGCCCAGCTCGCGCTCATGCTGATCTATTCTGTATGGCATGCTGCAATGAGCGCATTTTGTTTGAGAAGACCCTCAGGGAAACCACCCTTTTGGGTCCCTTTCTAGGGGTAGTCTCAAAGGCAAGGGGGTTTCCTAAAGTTGTTTTTTTCCCCACATCATTGGGTGGGGTTCTTACTTTTACCGCTCGTCGTCCGTCGCCGATGCCTCCTCGTCCTCCTCCTCCTTCCTCCTCCCGCCTCCTTCCTCACTCACTCACTCACTCACTCACTCACTCACTCACTCACTCACTCACTCACTCACTCACTCACTCACTCACTCACTCACTCACTCACTCACTCACTCACTCACTCACTCACTCACTCACTCACTCACTCACTCACTCACTCACTCACTCACTCACTCACTCACTCACTCACTCACTCACTCACTCACTCACTCACTCTGCATCTGGGTGTGTGTTTGCGTGGCAGGGGCAGCATTTGGTAGCTGTCTAAAGAGACTGGATGTTGTCGAGCGCGCGGCTCGGGGGCTCAATCTGCGTGACAGGCGCAGCACTTTGGAGATGGCTTGCAAATTTCGTGGCAGGCGCAGTATTTTCTGCATCTGGGTGTGTGTTTGCGTGGCAGGGGCAGCATTTGGTAGGTGTCTAGAGGGACTGGATGTTGTCGAGCGCGCGGCTCGGGGGCTCAATCTGCGTGACAGGCGCAGCACTTGGAGACGGCTTGCAAATTTCGTGGCAGGCGCAGTATTTTCTGAATTTGGGTGTGTGTTTGCGTGGCAGGGGCAGCATTTGGTAGCTGTCTACAGAGACTGGATGTTGTCGAGCGCGCGGCTCGGGGGCTCAATCTGCGTGACAGGCGCAGCACTTTGGAGATGGCGCACAGATTTCGTGGCAGGCGCAGTATTTTCTGCATCTGGGTGTGTGTTTGCGTGGCAGGGGCAGCATTTGGTAGCTGTCTAAAGGGACTGGATGTTGTCGAGCGCGCGGCTCGATCTGCACGACAGGCGCAGCACTTTGGAGATGGCTTGCAAATTTCTTGGCAGGCGCAGTATTTTCTGCATCTGGGTATGTGTTTGCGTGGCAGGGGCAGCATTTGGTAGCTGTCTAGAAGAGGGGCTGGATGTCGTCGAGCGCGCGGCTCGATCTGCGCGACAGGCGCAGCACTTTGGAGACGGGGCATAGATTTCGTGGCCGGCGCAGTATTTTTTGCATCTGAGTGTGTGTGTTTGCTTGGCAGGGGCAACATGTGGCAGCTGTCTACAGGGGCTGGATGTCGTCGAGCGCGCGGCTCGGGGGCTCAATCTGCGTGACAGGCGCAGCACTATTTGGAGACGGGGCATAGATTTCGTGGCAGGCGCAGTATTTTCTGCATCTGGGTATGTGTTTGCGTGGCAGGGGCAGCATCCCCGTGGCCACCCCGTGGCCACTCACTCACTAACTCAGTCATTATCGCATACCGGAGAAGCATTCACCGAAAAAATGCGCATGTGGGGTTATCCGGTCCTTTAATTTTCTCAGCTGGGCTGGTCAAAGTCTTAATCCCTTTGTGGTTGGGATGGAGTAAGATTGGCCGAGCCCAGTCTAGGGGTTCATCCCCATCCTGCTTACCCACTCTTGTCAACACTGCTGGGCTCTTCCGGTGGCAGAACTCCACATGCTCGAAGACTTGCGTCTCTGGACAGTGCCTTAAACCGGCCGTTTGGTGGCACTTTCTAAATCGGGTTAGGTCGCTGGCTGCAACGAAGGCTCGTTGGGCCAGGGGCGTCCTTATTGGTGACACTGTTTTTGTTTGGTGTTCTTTGGTTCGATTCAAGATTTGGTTCGAGTTGCAACTGGCTATCTGAGGGGTTGTGGACATTCTGTGATACCAATGGAACACCGTCCAAACGAATAAAGTCATCCATTTACCGGAGAGTTTCCCCCTATCACAGAACCCACCCCAAAAAGGGTGCACCGCACCTCAAGCAAAAAGTCGATCCACACCCAACTGGGCCCGTTTTTTTTTTTTGTCTGCTTCTGTGGGTTGCCAAAGTCAGAAACTGGACTACCACAGAACGGGGGGTGACTTGAAACCCCGGGCCCAGCCGGTTGGGCCCGCACGGAGGCACTGGCAGGAGGCGCTGGTGCTGTATCGCCTGCCCAAAGCTTCGGCGGCGGAGCTACTGACGCGGCTCCTCGACGCTTCGCGCAGGCGACGGGTCTGCGGACGCGTGGGGACGTACCCGACAGGGCCCCACCCCCAATTGCGCACTGCCAAAAACCCATTCCTATTTCAAATTGGTTGTGAAGGGCCCCTTTAATAGGGGCCCCCCAATCCAAATGGGGGCTAATAGGGTTCCTTTTAGGTGCCTTCCTTGTGGGTTCCCTTTGGGGGGGAGGGGTCCCTGACCACCAGTCGGCAGTTCTACTCTACTACCTGCTTTTACCGGGGTTATAGGGCTACAAAGACCTCCATGTCAGTAGAACGAAATGTCAATGGGTGTTGGGCGCTGCTCAACTGGCTACAACTTCAAGCCGTTGGAGAAAGGTCCCCCCTCCACGAACATGACAGTGGCAAAAGCAAAGGCCGAGCTTTGCACCACAAGGCTTAGCTGGTTCGTCCTGGCATGTGACGTCAGCGTTTTTCTGCCCAGAGGTAGTTTTATTGGTGGGGAAGGGAGGGTAGCAAGATGGCAACCCCGCAGAATCGATAGGCCTACCCCCCAAATAGTTGCCCAATTTGCTCACCGATCGACGGCAAAACGAACGAAAACCCGTGATGAAGGCCCCTTACCTGAAAATTCCTCATTTCTGCCGTGTGAATCATATAATTGTATGGCATGTTTAGAATGTATTGAAGTGGGGGCAGGGGGACGTACGTTCAACAAAGGACACTTCCAACCAGCAATTTCCCCTTGGAAGCTCAAGGGCAGTAGTGTACGGGTCGGGCTGAGGAAGGTCTATGTTGCTCCCATCGTAGATGGTTCAAACATCACGATTTAGGGCCATTTGAAGATCACGTTGTTTTCCCTAGGTACTTGCAAGATGGAGGGAGCCAACCGCAGCGTCCAACATGTCGCTTCCCCGGCGCCTTGCGCAGTTTCAACCAAGGTTCGAAGCCGGTACTGGGCAGACGAGTACTTCCCTGCCAAGTCACATGGATCCCAACAAGTTGTAAGTCTTCAGCCTCTTTTGAGCTGGCAGAATATCTGATTGTCTCTGGCAGCACTGGGTGCCTCCCGCATCGACCCATTTGAAGGGCCTTGTGTCCAATACGTCTCGTTGGAAGACATACCTATCGGACCCCCCCCCTTTCCACTGATGAATTATTGTGATTCATCCACCAAAACAGAGTAGGGAATTAGATTGAAGGTCCCAACCATGTTCCCCTGAGGTTCGCAGGCAAGCGACAAGCCGTTTGTGTAGGTGCAGCAAGCTTTCCCAACATCTTGGTATTCCTACCAGTTCGAACATCCAGGGTATTGACTTACCCAGTGCTTGGCCAATACTCCCGCAATACGCACAAGGTAGCGAGTCACGATTGGCTGAGCCAATGTTCTATTAAGAGCAGTTAAAAGCTAATCAGCCCGCACAACAGTGTTGCAGTTAGGGGAACAAGGGGACCCCTGGACTTCTCGAACTTTACAATTCTTTGGTGCATGTTGCTTGGCTGTTAGAACTTCAACTTTTTGCCAACTAATGGGTTTTCCACTAAACCACTAAAAGTTAAACTTTAAGCAGGGGAGCAGAAAGCAACCGAGAATTTGTGGCTGTGATAGGTTCGTTGCTTGTTGGTTGGGTTCGGGGCTGGATATATTTACTGTCTCTCAATAGGGGAACTGGGTGCTAAATATCCTAATTTGTTTGGTTTTCCCAACAGAAACCACAAGAGGATAAGTCCATGTTTTTTCCAACCCCCTATTACCCTATTAACACTCATTTGGGTTTGTCTGTAAATGGGGACTCTCAAAAAGGTTGGTTTCCTTTTGGTGTCCATTTAACACCAGCCAACAGAGTTTCCTCCATTTACACCACCTATTTGGGGTCGTCACAAAGAAAAACCCAAAGGAAACCCATCATTTTGGGGGTGGAGACCCCTGTAAACACCCCTCACCATCTCTCTGATGAAGAACCCTCGGCATTGTCACAGGCTGGTGATCACCGCTGCTGTGGGGGGCCGTGCCAAGCCCGGAGTCTCAGGAAACAGAGGAACTCCCATGAAAGTCCGTCACCTGTGCCCTTCCCAGACGACCCTTGGTTCCATTAACCGGGGCCAATTGGGAGTTTCCATGTTAGTTTGAGGGAGTTCAGGGATGGATGATTTTACTAGTGTGTGAATTGTAGCAAGTCACGTTCCTGGGAATTTCTATTTTCTTCTCCGTTTCCACCTAAATAAACCAAAAAGATGGCATCCTCGAAACCCCTTCATTTTCGAGCGCGCCATATCGGAGTGTCGTAACATTGCGAACACCCGATTGGGTGGTCGTACAGGGAAAACAAAAGGAACCAATCCATTCAAGGCAGCCAAAAGGTTTAAACCCTTATTTCTGGTAGAATGTGTAAGTGGTTGGACCCTTTGGACATCATTTACGAGTTTCCAGGTAGAACCAACCAGACTGGTAGACCTGCAGCCCCAGGTGCTGTAGCGGCGCCGCAGCCGCGGCAGCAGAGCTACAGGAGCTGTACCCCACTAGCCGCAGCTCGGATCGACCAGAAAAGGAAGGCGGCGCTGGCTTCCTGTTGTGTTGCTGGTTTTGGTTGCCATTTTAGTGGCAAGCGAAAAGTGTGGTTACTCTTGCTGGCCAGTCCACTCAGGAAGTGAGCCTTGTTGTGTTGCTGTTTGTTGTTTGTTGTGCTTGTTGCTGGTGATTCGTTGTCTTTGGTTTGCCTCTTTCTTGGGTGTTGTTGTGCGTTTGTGGTTTCAGCGCATTTCCGTGCCAACCGAGTTCAACCATCACTCGTTGAATCCTAGGGTTCCAGTGTTGTCCCAGTTATTGATCACCCCAAGGCAGACCCGAGCCCAGGAGTATTCATTTCGCACAAAGAACTCATAAGCTCATCAAACATGGCAGCATGTGTAGATTAATTAGTCATTCCCTATGGGTCCGATCAATGACATGTGGGTCCTCATAATATGTCCTTTTGACACCCCGTTTCAGCATCTCGGAATGTGGTACGGGGATCCTGCACGGTCCCGGGTTCTGCATACAAAGCCCCGATCGGACCCTTCGGGTAGATGGCCAACTTTGGCACGTCAAGGGTTGTCAAGCTCGCTACGCCAGTCAACGTTCTGTGATCAACGTCTCTTTGAAGCGGTTCGCAGCGGAATGCTTCACGACAATTCCACGCAATCATGTAAATATCAGTGTGTACGCGCAAAGCATTCCTCTGTGAAGCAAGCATGACTCGTTGGATTCATATTGAGTGTGAGACAATCCCGGAGTTGACTCAAGACAGCGATCCAATACCAATCGTCTCATCTCATCTCTGCCGTGCGAGCATTGATTCAGGCACAGCAGCAGGCTACTCAGCAGTATCCACAACAGCGTGTGTATGGTCTCTAAATCATGGGTGTGTGTTTTAGGAGACCCCCCCAAATTGGTGGCGTTCCTTTGGTGTTCCTTCAAAGCCACCAAAACGGGGTACCCTCAAAAAGAGACACACCCACGCGGAACAAACAAGTTTGACACAAGCGCGTAAGGCTTAAGCGCACCCTACAGAGTGACTTCACATGCCTTGCTGGGGATGTCTGAGCAAACGTGTGGTTTGGGTGGGTAAGGGGCGCCATATGATACTGTGGATGGACGAAATCCTGCACCTCCTAAGAAACCCTGTAACGATGATTCCCCTGTAAATACCAACAAACAATGGTTTCCCATGGTTTGCAAGTGGTGCGAAATGGATTTCGTCCATCCACAGTATTTCTAGGTGGGTCTAGCTTTGACACCAACACATCCACAGACCAACAGCCACACAGAGCCCTTTGGCCTGAAGGAAGACATCGGTTTGGACGTTCTCCACAAAAACGGAAGCCGTGGACTCACAACTTGTCTCATGTCTACGGCTGTGTGTATTTGTCAAATAGGGGATCTAACAAGAATGTTGTTGTTGTCTTCGTTTTCTTTAAATGTATATGTATATATATATATATATGTGGGGATTGGGTCCTTGGGCCACACTTGCGCGGTACTTGCGCGGACTTGTGCGCGCACAGCGACGCAGAAACTAGATTTCGTTGACCTCGGTTTGCGAAGTTTTCGTGTAGATTGCGCGTAAGCCTTCCTAAGCAGTGTGTTTGCTGTTCACACAGCAACCCACGCTTCCCGCTGAGGTTGCTCCTAGCAGTTCTAGGCCAGCAACATACTGTTGACCCAACAGAAAACGCAGCAGGCTCTGCCACACAGCTTGGACACAGCCTGGAACAAGGAGAGTGCATGTTGCGGCAACTTATCCATTGCTTGAACTGCGCCGATAAAGACATCCGAGACAGCAAATGACTAGATGTCTTGCTGGGACTTCTCGTGCTTGCGCGCAACTTGCTCGCGGCTTGTGCGCGGCTTGCGCGGAAGTTGTCGTGTCAGTTGCTGATTGTTGAAGTCATGACCGCCGAAACTTTGGCTTCCTTTGGCGTCTGACTGAAGAAAACGCCGCAGTCGGCTGCAGATGTGTGTGCTTGTGTGTTTCAGACCTTTGCCCTGGACAACTCACAAAAGTTTAAAAGGCAGAAGCACACGCTCCCTTACACGAACCTTTGCAACCAGCTTGTGGCCTACACGCCACAAGCAAGTGTCGTAAAACAAATCACTCCTCTCATGAAGCTACGCAACATCAATGCATGAAACCCTTCAAAACTGTAACCTTGCGCATCCCTTGGGCCACACTTGCGCGCTCCTTGCGCGCGCACAGCTTCTGACAACTTTTACTTCTCCCTGTTCGGCGATAATTAAAATCGAAGACTGGGGTTTTAGGGCGGCCCTCATATACATGTTTTCACTCACATACATTTGAGACTTGTCTCAGGATTGGTCTCCAGCCGCGATGACTTCTTGCGGACCGTTGGTGTTATCGACACCTGAAGAAGAGACCGGCTGTGGTGCGCATGTGGATTTGTCTCAACATGGTTGACCCACACAAACTGAGAAGTGTCCTTCTGTTCTCCCTTGAACACAACCCGGAATGGGGTACCCTCGAACAAGACACACCCATGTGCCCCAGTGGCGTGGTTTTCCTTTTGGGCCAGTGAATGTCCACTTGTTCAGTGGAGAAGCGGTTGCCCTTTGTTTGGTGGGTTCCATCTTTCAATGGTCAGCTCCAAAGCGGGTCACTGCGATGCTGCGAGAGTAGCACGCTCGCTTTTTTCATGTTGAAAGTCAAGGTCACGTACTTCGGCCTATGGGTGTACCCCTATTGACTCCAAATCATTCCACAAAAGCATTGCCAATGCTCTCGAACCAACAAGGGTGTCTTTTGCGCGGGTACCTTTTTTGGGGTTGGTTAATTTAAAAGGGGACAAGTACCATTTTCGGTTCCCTTATATGAGACACTCAAGTGTCCTTTTTCTACCATTTTCCCTGGGCTGCCAACATGGCTGGCCATGGCTCGACGCGCGCGAATCCGGCTGCAGCGCGCTCGCAACCCGCAGCCTTTTTGGCTTCGGTGGCCGCGGAAAACCATGCGGCTGGCTGCTTCTTGGATTGAGGTGGAGGGGAGGGAAGCTGAAGAGCTTGAGGCCGTTTTTGGGGCTACCCTTGTTGGGGTGGTTCACACTGAAACCAGAGGGAATACACCTTTTTGAGATTCCCCATGTAGAGGGAAACCCGTATGAGCAGAGAACTATGCTACCAGGTGGTCTCACAAGGAAGCAAATCCTCCAGATCTGACTTTTTAGTTTCCCGTTTTTTTGGCACTTAGTTTAGGTCCCAAAAGTTTGCCTGAAATTGTTCACAGAAGCCTCCCCGAACCGGGGGTCTGATTCAAACAAGTGGTCCCTCTAGAATTGAGTTGATTGACGGGTTCATGCAAATCTTGAAGGTAGCAGTCTACCATCAACTTGGGATTCTGCGCCTGGGGGACACGCACACGCACACGCAGGTGTCCCACGCAAGCACCAATGCTGTTTAGTCCGCATGGCCCACATGTTGATGCAGTACTTCTGCGGTACACCTTCTGCCCTGTTCGTAAAGTTATGTGAGAATGATAGCAAGGGCTCAGCGTTCAGTGTGTATGACATTTGCCTACATGCCTTCCTGGCCGGTCCAACTCCCCAACTCCGAGCCCCACCTCGAAATCCTCAAACGGTAAAGATGCATTGGGCGATCCGAACGTTCGGATCCCAAAGAAGCTGGGCTTTCGGGAAAATCAGCGCAGCTTCTCGGCATGTGAATTCCCCTTGTTTCCTTCCTCTGTCAGCCTTTACTCAAAGCCATCCTGCCTTTTTGTTCGGTGTGAAGGGCCCAAATGGTCGTCCCCCCTCTTCAATTCGATCCGACAGGGTCTTCTGAGGCCTTGTTCAGAGGATTCCACAATTTCGGGGCCTTGACAACCGCCAGGCTGACACCCAAGTCCACTGATTTCTGGTCCCACTGCTCATCTTGCAAACTCCGTGGAAGATCCGTGGCCATCTCAGGTACTTCTGCTAGCGCACTGTTGGGCTGAATGGGTGCAGGACCCTCCGGAAGCGCTGAGTGCTTCCATTCCACCCAGAGCCTATTTCATCGTTCACTCATGGCGTCAGGGGGAAAATGAGGGATTCCAGCCATGAAGGTTACTTTGTCTTTGTGATCCTTAAGTCAGGTTCTTGACCTCCAGTGACAAATGCCAGACTTGGCTAAGTAGCTTGCCCTTCCGCTGTGGCAAGGTGTATCCCCCCGCCGGTACAACGGTCAAACGCCTTAACCGCGGTCAAACGCCCCCCGAGCTGGCAGGACCTTGACCTGTCGCCAGACGGCGCGGTTTCCCAGCTTCAGGCCTCTCGACTTCAAAGCGGGCGGGGTGGGGTGGCTGGGCGAGGTGGGGTGGCTGGGCGAGGTGGGGTGGCTGGGCGAGGTGGGGTGGGGTGGGGTGGAATTGGGCCCTTTAAGCATCAAAGCTTCCCATCTATGGGCCGCAAGTGGCAGTTTTCTCTTCCCAAGACATGCGAGGTTTGGGTAGTCTGTGGACCATTTGGGAGGGACACGGAGGACTGCATTGCCCAGAAAAGTCTTTGACCGTGGCCGATGTGTCAAAAGGAGCACACCAAGGGGAGGCGGCATCTTGCTGAGGGCGTTGTTCGTGTGTTTGTTTCCGGCCCATCTGTCGGATGTGCGCTGCGCCAAGAGGCAGCAAAGCGGCTTTAACTTACCAGGAGGGCAACCAACATGACACCGCGCCCTTTTCATTTGCGGAAGGAACGCATAGGCAGTCTGCAGCGCCGTATCTGTGGGGCCATGTGCTAGACAACTCTGCAGTAGATATGTAGTATATGTGTCCTTGGGATCAAATTGGTCATAGGGAACGCCAGCAGGCTCGGTCTTGATTTCATCGCATGTTCATGGGGTCTGAAGAGGAACAGGTCTTGATTGTGTACCCGTGGACACACACACACACATAACGTGTTTTGCCGGAGAACGCGCACATTAACTAACACAACAACCACCCGGCTTTTTTGAAATTTTGTTTCGTTCTACCGGAGATTTGGGGGGTTTGTCTTTGAACCCAGCCCTGCCATGGGCCGGCGATGGTTCCTCTGCCTGGGCCTCTGCCTGGTCACCTGGCGCCTACACAGCGCCTTCGCCGGGGCCTTGCAGCTCGGCGCGGCTTCTCGTGGCGCGCGAACGGTGCGGCGGGTGCGGGAGAGGAAGGTGAACCGTGAACCTCGGCGGAGAGGTGTGTTATTTTATTTGTTTGTTGTGTGTGTGTGTGTTCTTTTTGGAGTTGGTGCTAGGGTTGGGAAAAACGGGCTTGAACGAAACAAGCCATGGACTACTTTAAAGGGAAAGCGAAAGGCGGTTGTTCAAGCAATAGCGGCTTCAGGCTTAAGCATGAGCACGATCGGACAACGGGGGTTGGTTCAACCCCGGTGTACCTTTTCAGGGACGGTTTGTAAGGGCAACCCAAAGCAAGCCAGCCAATTTTGTTTGGGCCCCAAACTTTCAGACACATCCAGGCACCTCGTCAAGGCAGAGCAAGAAGCGGCAAAGCTTCGGGCCAGACGGATCCCAGAGTGATTACAAAGCGCATCTCGCAGCTGGCGTCTGCTTCGGAGGTGCTGGCAGTGGTGAAGCAGGAGCAGCTCAACCCGAAGCTGAACCTGATTTGTATCTCAGCAGCCTGGGCGAAGATTGCAAAGATGCCGCGCAGCCTGGCTGTTGGTTTGGATGATGTGCGGCATGATCCCTTCTTTCCAGCCTTCGTTCTCTTGACAGAAGACTGGGCAAAGAAGGCGGGTGCGGAGCCCAAGGTTTATGCACGTGCAGTGGCAAGTACACTTTGGGCTGTTTCCAAACTTTACGCCTTCGTGCCTTCACGCCTGGCAAGTCTACAGAAACAACTGAGCATTGCAGTTCCGAAGACAGCAGAGTATATGGACGCACAGGCGATAGCAAATATCATTTGGGCCAGCGCAAAGCTGTCAGATTCTGGAGATGACTCTCTGCTGGCCTTGCTGCCGGCGTTAAGTGACAGGGTCCAAGAAGTGAAGCAGGATATGAACGCCCAGGCCGTTGCAAACATCATTTGGGCCAGCGCGAAGCTGTCAGATTCTGGAGATGACTCTCTGCTGGCCTTGCTGCCGGGGTTAAGTGACAGGGTCCAAGAAGTGAAGCAGGATATCAAAGCACAAGAGATTGCAAACATCATTTGGGCCAGCGCGAAGCTGTCAGATTCTGGAGATGACTCTTTGCTGGCCTTGCTGCCGGCGTTAAGTGGCAGGATCCAAGAAGTGAAGCAGGATATGAACGCCCAGGCCGTTGCAAACATCATTTGGGCCAGCGCGAAGCTGTCAGATTCTGGAGATGACTCTCTGCTGGCCTTGCTGCCGGCGTTAAGTGACAGGGTCCAAGAAGTGAAGCAGGATATGAACGCCCAGGCCGTTGCAAACATCATTTGGGCCAGCGCGAAGCTGTCAGATTCTGGAGATGACTCTCTGCTGGCCTTGCTGCCGGCGTTAAGTGACAGGGTCCAAGAAGTGAAGCAGGATATGAACGCCCAGGCCGTTGCAAACATCATTTGGGCCAGCGCGAAGCTGTCAGATTCTGGAGATGACTCTCTGCTGGCCTTGCTGCCGGCGTTAAGTGGCAGGGTCCAAGAAGTGAAGCAGGATATAAACGCACAAGAGATTGCAAACATCATTTGGGCCAGCGCGAAGCTGTCAGATTCTGGAGATGACTCTTTGCTGGCCTTGCTGCCGGCGTTAAGTGGCAGGGTCCAAGAAGTGAAGCAGGATATGAACGCCCAGGCCGTTGCAAACATCATTTGGGCCAGCGCGAAGCTGTCAGATTCTGGAGATGACTCTCTGCTGGCCTTGCTGCCGGCGTTAAGTGACAGGGTCCAAGAAGTGAAGCAGATATGAACGCCCAGGCCGTTGCAAACATCATTTGGGCCAGCGCGAAGCTGTCAGATTCTGGAGATGACTCTCTGCTGGCCTTGCTGCCGGCGTTAAGTGGCAGGGTCCAAGAAGTGAAGCAGGATATAAACGCACAAGAGATTGCAAACATCATTTGGGCCAGCGCGAAGCTGTCAGATTCTGGAGATGACTCTTTGCTGGCCTTGCTGCCGGCGTTAAGTGGCAGGGTCCAAGAAGTCAATATGAACGCCCAGGCCGTTGCAAACATCATTTGGGCCAGCGCAAAGCTGTCAGATTCTGGAGATGGCTCTCTGCTGGCCTTGCTGCCAACTCTGGCAGTGAGGGCGAAGGAGGTGCGTTCCCAGATGAAGCCGCAAGCTATTCACATGATCAGCTCTGCTTCCAAGCAGCTTTTGAATACGTTGACAGACACCGACATGTTGGAGGCCTGCCAGCGTCTCAGCAAGATCTAGAGAGCCTGGCGTGCGGAGCAAAACTGAGTCCGCTGAGATGTGTGGCTTGAAGCCTGAAAGAACAGTCGCGCCACAGCCAACGCCTGGCGGATAGGCACGCTCATACATAGCCAACCTATTCCATCTTTTTGGCATAGCTTTTGGGTAGGCCACTTCAATACCAGGTTTCACTATGACTTCGTCACAATTGCAGTCAAACACTCCTTCATCCCGGCCATCTCAGTTTTTTCCCATTTTTTCAAGGAGCTAGCCCCTCCCTCCTTGTGGAAGTTGGTGTTGTCTTTGCCACAGTTGTTGCCTTCCCAACTGGTTGACGACCACTGGGAAGGGGGCTGAAGAAAGTTGCAACGCGGTGGTGGCCAAGGGAGGGCCCTTGAAGTGAAACAGGCAGTGGGGGGATCAGAATCAACCCTTTTCTGGGATCCCCCCAGGACGGCCTTGGTAACGGGCTGTTCCCCCTTTGGCCTTGCTACGGCCTTCCTCAGCGAATCAAGGTAGGGGTCGGTGGGAGGGGGGTTCCCATGTCGATGACTTGGGCTTGAGCCGGACACTTCCAACGCAAGACTCAGGGCCTTCCAAGACTTGCAGGAGTTCCGGAAATCCGAACATGTGGTTCAAACGTGACATGCAGAGATCCTTGTGCTAACCCAGGATTTCCTTGGACCCAAAACCGTTTCCTACCAGTCGAAAAAGGTTGGTGGCGGAGTGAAGAGTCACCTGCTTATCGCAGCAACTCTTTGGTCGATATGGATTTGTCTCAAAATCGGGGACCTCTCCCCAAAAAAAGATTGGTGTCCTGTTGGTTTCCTTCAACCCCCCCCCCCGCCCCCAAGAGGGTACCCTCAAAACAAGATACCCCCATACCAGCCCTTGTTTACAGCAAAGGGCTCAAAAAAAATCATTTCAGCCTTCCAACAATGATTCAATGCAAGTTGAGGGGGGCTCGTTTTTGGCAACCACACGTTCGCCTCAGGTCGGCTCAGCTCGGCGGAAATCTGCGCCGCTGGCGGACTACGAATGCGTCGACAAGGCCACGCTGGAGCCCCAGGCCGGCCACGGGCCCGGCCTTGGAGCGCCCGAAAAAAAACCAGTTGGGTGTATGTCTTTTTTGCGGGTACCCATTTTTTTGTTTGCGGTTCTAAAGGGAATCTCAAAGGAACACCAGTTTTAGGGTTCCCCTATTCTTGAGACACCCAGTTGGACGTTACCAGTGTTTTTTTCTCACTTCCCGAGTTTCTGGACGATTTTTACTTTTTGTAAAGACAATTTTGGTGGTAAATAAAACGTTTGGACTTTTCTTAGCCCAACAAGTGAGGTTTTGAGGCTATCCATTTGTTGGGGTGGCTTTAAAGGGAAGCCAAAAGGAACTTCAGCCGTTTTGTGGGTGGTTTCAAGGAGAAACCAAAAGGAACACCAGTTTTAGGGCCCCCCTACATTGAAACACCCCATCGGACGCTACCAGTTGGTGGTTCTACTTTATGAAGTGGTAGGGCCTAGATAAATCTTGATGACCATGTTGGCGAACAGTCATTGTGCTGCTCGAAGAACCCCTCTATGGCCGAAGCTGAAAAAGCAGGGTGGTCTTTGCCATCGTTTGTGTTGTTTGGGTATCTGAGGGGGAGGGTTGAACAAGTTTTGTAGGTGAGAATTGAGAAAATCCTCCATGTTTGATTTCGGACCATGGCGGACTGGTTGATTTATTCTGACTCTGACGGGGTCTCAAGTGACGTTAACAACTGGGTCTTTGGAGGGTACTCTAAGGGCCGTTTACGGTTTTCAATTGGGTAGGGTACTATTGAACCTGCATGAACATAGGGAGGTGCCTTGTCCATACTCACTCCTGAGTTCCGGGACTTTATATCTTCGGTATGGCAGGGCTCCTTCAAAGATACATTTTGCCCATTTGAAACATGGCTTTTTCCACCAACATAAAGGGACACCTCCATTTACAAGGCAATGATCAGGTGTATAATGTAAGGGTCACTGTATATTTCAGTGGCAAACCACAGGTTTGGTTACTTTTTCTGGCCAACCCGCCAAGGAAGTGAGTATTTTATAGATGGAGGTGGGCACCTCAACTGAACACCAGAGGTCGCGAAACCGAACCTTCACCTTGGGACTTTGTCATTAGGAAGGCCTTCTAGTGGTATCCTCACCCTCGTGCATTGCCGACTCTTTCCGGTTTTCCAGTGGAGCTGTTTGAGGAGTGCTTCGAAACATGTTTGTTTACCATTTTTGGCAATAAACCGGGGGTTCGGTCAAAAGTTTGGTTTCCAACAAGTCAGAGCATCGCCTTTCTCCCTTCACTTGTCTCTCATCCTCCTTAGGGATGGGTGGGTGAATGTCGACCCCGGATGAACCAACCTGCTGGATGAACATGTTGAAGTTGGTCGGTTGCGCTGCCTAATCACAAGCAACCATTTCAGGTGACTCCTGGGTTCGCATTTGTCCGAACCTTAGGTTCTGCCAAAACAAGATTGGAAGGTCCAAACCGGATGGGAGCCCGGCGCGCGAAGCTGTCGGCCAGGTGGATCGACCCATCCGAGAAGTCTTACAAGAGCACCCCGGGAAGGACGGATGGCGCCGCGCTGGCAGAACTCATCAGTGGGAGGTGATGCACGGTGTGGGCCAACAACAGACTGTTCAACTTTGGGCTAGTACAAAACTAAAAGCAAGGGACATGTTTTTAGGGCGTTTGGTCGGAGTCGGTATTATAGACGCGTTCAAACAAGGCAACTTTATACATGACAAAGGGGAAGTTGTATTTTTGTTGGTGGGTATATCAATTGATGTTTCTGCCAGAAGGGGATCTTGCAAACCCCAGGATTGTCAGCTCTATCCTAGCTATGGAACTGGACGAAAGGAGGCTGTTGGCTTCGACCCTTGTCCTTTTTCCAGGGTTTCCATGTCAAGGCACCGGCCCTGCGTCATGAATCTATAGGCGTCCTTTCGGAGATGGTTCCTGTATTTCCTAAGGGATCAAGTGGTAAGCCCTGGTAATGTGAACCTAACAGGACCCTCGGGAATTCATCAAAAAGGTTGTTTCCAACAAGACCTCCTGACTGTCGCAATCATGGTGGGGTTTACCTATTTACGCCCTAAAGGTTGTTTCAGAGGGTTTCTACACTAAAAAAGGGCGCAAAAGGGAGCCCAACTTTTTTTTCTGGATTGAAGAGGGCTGCGACACTACAGGGTACATAGGGTGTCCGACCGGTTGCGTTTTTTTTTCATGGGGCCCCAGAATGTGTGGTTTCCTGTTGGTCTTCGCGTTTGAAACCACAAAACATGGGCCGCCCTCAAAGAAAGGACAGACCCAACTTGGATTCCAGGCAAACTGGGGCAGGTCCAAGAAGAAGCCGCCGGTTTTCTCTGAGGTGCGTCTATGGCGCCGTGGGTGACTGGATCTCCATGTGCGCGAAGGCAAGGGAGCCACTTGGCGACCTGGTGGAAATGGTCACTTCAAGGTTTATGTGGAAAGTATTAAGCCTTGGATTCGGACAAAATAGCTTACGTACACATACATGAATGTATGAACATTTGTACATCTCTCTATATATATATATTAATATATGCATAGAGATAAGCACATGCACACATGGGGGTTGACCAAAAGGTCCGATGAATATGGGATGACCATTGGGGGGAATACCAGCAAACAAATGACTTTCACCAGGGAACGGGACAAAACTACCCATGGTCATTTGTGGGACGGACGAAATACTGATCAACCCCTCTTGAGGGAAACTTGAACAAGTATGATCCGGACAAGTTAGATAGCCTCGGTAAGGACTCCTAAGTGAACCATGACCATGGCCCGTGTGAAGTCACTGACTTGTGGTAGTTATTGGGCTTGGAAGACATGGAGGACACCCCCCAGCTCTTGGAGGGAGTTCCAAACTATAGGCCGGGTGAATTCGTTGACCGGTCACGCCATTCACCTCCAATCACAACATCCGATGTTTTTTTTTTCCCGTGGCTCCAAGATGCCGTTCACTACTCCAAACCAGAATCCCCAAGTACCCAATTTGAATTGCATGGGTTCAGAGATCATTTGGATTTCAAGCCCTGGTTCTGGTAGAGAGTAAATGGGAAACCGCTCCCAAACCTCCAAGCCACCAATCCCAAACCACCAGTTGGAGGGAAGCAACTTGGGGCTGCCCTAACTTCGCCAGTACTTTTCAGATGAAACCCTGAGGAAACTTCTGGGAGGGTCTCAATCAGAAAAATCCGGGCCCCGAGGGCGAGAGACTACCGGATCTTTGGCGACTACATCGCCAGCAATGAAGAGTTCCTGCGTGCCTCGGCTCGAGAAAGCATCGACACCCCCCCGGCTTAAAGCGAAGTGAAGTGAAGTGAAGTGAAGTGAAGTGAAGTGAAGTGAAGTGAAGTGAAGTGAAGTGTGTGTGTCCCTGTGTTTTATTTTTGTTTTTGTGTCACAACAGCTGGCAAGCACCCAGCATAGATATGGATGACTTTCCCTCGACAACCACCCAGGGGCAGCCCTGAAATGGACAGTTTTCCTGTACCCCTTGAGAGAGTCCCAACAATGGTACCGAGCCCAACAAAAACACAACCTTATACAAGTATATAACCCAATCAGAGGCTCTGTCAGTTTCGATGCGTAATTGCTGCAAAACGTGGGGACTACATTCATACTATGGTGGAACCTGTTGCTCAACAAAAGTGACGCAAGGGCACCCCTGGTTCGGTCCTAGGCTAACAAATAGGGTCATGTTGGACACTGCTTTTGTACTTGAAGTGCTGCCAACCGCACCATGCTTTGCACGGCAATGACTGGAGGTTGGGGGCATGGTGCCAAGCAACAATTCCACACTTTGCGGCTACTCGCCTTTCGGTTCTTATGAGCAGCGGACGAGATTGCCAGTTGGCATCGAATTGGCCCTGCCAGTTTTGCAGGTGAGTGGGTACTGTATCGGTTTGGGGTAGGCCCCTATCGGTTTCTGGTGGACCAACTTGTCGGGTACTCACATTGTGGGTAG